CTATTGCAAAAAATATTTTTTTCAAAAATAAATTTTGTTCTATCAGTTTTTTTAGAATTCTATTTTAGCGTTCATAGGCATTAGTAATAGAAAGAAAATAGTTGTCATGCCACTTTTCCTGGAATCTATCGTGAAGCACTTACGTTGTTTTTGCAATTTCTCGGCAGTATATTAATTTCAAAATTAAAAATAAAATTAAAAAATAAATTTTCTTTCTCTCAAAACGGGGATTATCCAACTGTCACGTAAAATACAATCCAAAATTCTTTTCTTTCATTTTCTTTTACTTTAAATGCATACTATTAATAATGATACGCTTTTTGTCGGTTTGAAGTTGACGCTAAGACACCCTGACCAATAGGGAGCTTCAAGGCTCATCATGATCATATTCATATAACGTTGGTGGAAACATTTTTTAAATTAAACATTTTTTAAACTAAACATTTCAAAACTTCTTTAACACTAGATTGCTTAAGGAAGACATTTTGACTGCTTTTAATTTCAATTAGAAAAACAATGATGTACATAATAACACAATTTCTTAAAATTTTGTACAACATATAATTTTTTATTGTTAATATTTACTAATAACTAGTTATATAACAGTAAATAATATAAAAAATATTAAAAATTAATTATAAAGAAATTTTTTTACACATTATTTATTCTTTTACAATCCAGTCATTATGACTACTTTTGGGCAATATCGGTATATACCAAGTTTCTAGTGTTAACAGATTATCTCATTGGCAATTATATTGAAAAGAAGTAAGTCATAAATTTTGTTTGTTCTTTATTCTTTTTCTTATTTTCTGTGGTTCATTATTCAGAAAATTCCACATTTAATTGTATGATTTATTTGTTTCAGGAGGTATTAGGATTTTTTATGCAATCAATGAAGTTGATCACTGCGGAAATTCTGATTCCTCATCTAATTGCTGCTACATTCCGATGTTATTTGTATCTGGTACCTTACTGACTCTTATCATATTTATCATTTTGTTTATATTTTTTGCCATAGGTGTGTCCATTCAGGCTTGTTTTAATAAAATATGTATGTGAGTTTTTTAGAACGAAAAACAAGCTAAGATGCTTTTGATTGTCATAATTTGTGATTTTTGTTTTCATTTACATTATACCGAAACTATAATCTTCACACCAAGATTCCAAAAATAAAATAATGTCAGTATGCAGACAGATACAATGGTCTGAATTACGCATTTCTATCCATAGGTATCACCACCCCCTTCTCAATCTGAAAGGTACATACAGGTACAAAGGTACATACCTGTAAGATGCGGCTTTATCTTCATGCTTGTTTCTGTCTACTCTTTTTTTATGTGCTAGTTATATTTAAGCTTTCTGCCAAACATTTGAAATGTAATGAGCCATCTTCCATTACGCTTTGTTAAATTACTCAAATGTAGAATATTGGAAATAATAAATAAAAGATATTGCGTCATTACACTTTGATACAGAAATAACACTTTAATGAAAAATTTATGATCTAAGAAGTATATAGAAGTATATTTTAAGAGTTCAAAGAGAGATTTTGTAAGATGTTAATTTACCTTTTTAAGCTTGAGCAGGGAAACAATTGAATTTTAATAAATAGACGATATAGCTATCTGCACAAAATCTTTTAACTGACTGGGATTGTAAATTATATAGCAGAGAGCGTTAAATAATGAAATATATTAAATTCTTTTTTTAAAAAAGTGCTTATTCTCTTTGAAACGGAGAAGAAAAAAACCTTGAAATGACGATATATTTGACCCATTTAATCAAGCTGGTGCAAATAATATACTAAATTTTCCTCCTTAAATTTTTTTCCATTTATATGGCCCATACTTTAATATGGCAAGTGATGAATTCGTTACCTGCTGTCCAATATATAAACGCGAAATCCACTTTTACTACACCGGAGTTGTGATAGACTATAGATGTTGATTGAACAATCCTCCATCTCCTTAAAAGAGGTAAAAAGATGAGGTCTTAAATCCTTATATTCACCATTAATTTTTCTTTTTTCTTATTTTATTTTATTTCAATTAATACATATTAACAATATTAATTAAGCATTAGTATCAGTAATAATATGGCGATTTTTTACGGATCCCCAAAACGAATGAGTATCTTTTCTGCATTATTTTTGCTTTTTAGAAGATAAGTTTTTTTAAATTTCAATTAATATATACTACTATTTCAATTAATATATTATCATTGTCGTCAATGATAATATGACGATTTCTTACGGTTCTTCTGGACAAATAAATGCTTTTACTCCACTGCTTTTGCTTTTTAGTACATGGCTTATTTATTTCATTTCAATATTCATATATTACCTAAATTAATTAAGCATCATTTGCTTCAATAATAACATGGAGATTTTTCACGGTTGGACTAAACGAATTAGTACCACTTTCCCATTAGTTTTGCCTTTGAATACAAAGATATTTTTTTCTATTCAATGCAAAGTGATGCTGTGGGTATCTCGATCCTGATTGGTTCTTGAAGCATGGCGTTCGTTTACGTTAGCAACTGTTCTTTCCTCTCTATTTCGAGTAAGCCAAGCTCGTGTCAAGTATCAACTCTCTTAGGTGACGCGTTCGAAATTCTTTTGAAAAGATTCTTTCTAAAAGATTTCAATTCTTTCACTATATATTTACACACAGACTTAACACAAGGACTGGCATCAAGCCATGTGGAACATAAATAAACTAATTATGCATCGAAGTTGCCAGGTACACAAAACAAAAATATATCAATGTTAGAATAAGGTACATAAACAAATATTAAGTCTAAGTAAAGTAAAAGAAGTAGACGAGAAAAAATTATATTTCCCCGAATTCGATGTGCGATACGGTTCTGTATTTAATTAACTTATCGTTAATTAACATCTTAACTTATGTACAAAAACTTAGTTCAACTTTCATGCACCATTTTGCTGATAAAGATTAACTGGCGCTGACGTCATAGGTCAAATATGTGGATATGGGAGAACTTCTTCTTCTTCTTCTTGAAATGCAAGTACCGGTTGATTTTAAATAATTCATTTTTTAGGAACATATTTCAAAAAAATAATACAAATAAAAGAAGCACGTGATATCAGACAACTTTAAAAGTATAAATTTGCTGAAGTAGACAGCACCTACTACCACGTAGTGTTGTTCATAGAATTTATCCGTCATAGCGAATATAAAATAATTCAATTTTTAAATACGTGCAATAAACTATTTTTTATCAAATAGAGCTATCAACAATTATCACTTATGCTATGTTTAAAATGTATGATAAATTGAATGAATCGTGTATAGTTAAATTTGAAACAATGGCTAACGCTTAACTAATCAGAAAATTTACCTAAGAATGTTTAATGTCAACAGTGAAGGTCTGGTTTCTTAGGACAAGCGCCTTATCTGGGCGTCAGCGGGACGTCAACATCCCGTTGACGCCAACAAAATACTGGTTTGTTAGCTCAAGGTCTGGTTTCTTAGAACTAGCGCCTTATTTGGGCGTCAGCGGAAAGTTGACGTAGAGCTGACGCCATTAAAATACTTTTTTGTTAGCTCAGCGTGAGCAGTCGGCCCAACGCAGACATTTTCTCTCATTGCGCATGCGTTAATAACGTAAACAAATATTTATTTTGAATTTGTATTGATTTTGTTATTGTCGACGCTCAGGTAAATATGAACTCGCTCAATAAACAAAAAGAAAGCGGACTGTATTTTTCTGCACAATATTTATTTAGTTTTTGGAAGAGAGCTTTTTTGTAGCTCGTTACAGCTCTCCTTCCACACACACTCTCTCTCTCAGTGTTACAAGTTATACTAGGTGGCGCTACAAATCCGTGCGGATACATACCGCCGGGCGTTGCATTGTTTTAACAATCAACAATATTAATACAACTATTAACAATATTACTATTATTACACAAATATTACTATACTAAACAATTGCTATTACACGATAAATTTCACATTTTACATGATTATGAAAAGTAATATATAAAGTTTTTAAAAAAAATATATTCATTCAATTGGCAATAAACAAATCTTGGAAATGGGCCTTTTAAAGATCCCTTTGTTTGTTTTAATACTACAAACACGAACTCTGCCATCCTTTCCCGGAAAGACCTCCACAATTCTACCAATTGGAAAATTACATATAGCTAAATTATCTTCCTTTATCAAAACCATATCTCCAAATTTAATGTTTTGCTTATCAATGTACCACTTCGACCTTTGTTGCAAAGTTGACAAATAGTCTTTGTGCCACTTTTTCCATATTAATTGCACGAATTTAGTGGTTTTGTGCCATAAACTCAACCTATTATCAGATACATTGGTTACATCTGGTTCAACAATTGATGTGAACGGTCTTCCGATCAGGAAATGGCCTGGAGTGAGAACGCTCAAATCATTGGCATCTGAAGATAACGGGGTAAGCGGTCTTGAGTTTAAAACTGACTCAATTTGAGTAGTTACAGTCAAAAAATCTTCATAAGTTAATTTCTTATCACCCACTACTCTTTTCAGATGATATTTGAAGGATCTCACTCCAGCTTCCCAGNTGGCATTTCCGGCAAAATTAAATTCCTAGTGCACTTTAGCATCCAAATAGAGTCTCTGTGCTGGCATCTAGTGCGGCAGAAACTGGACGTCCAAATTACTATGACCAACGGTATCTCACCCATTGTGGTGGTCCTGAAAGAGTGGATACCACCTCTGAAGAATGCACTAGGTCTGTTCAATGGCAAGACCAATTGCGCAGCTCATTGGGGAAAAAAAATTAAACAATGGCTAACGCTTAACTAATCAGAAAATTCATCATGGAATGTTCTAATGTCAACAGTGACCTTCCTCTTTCTTCAAACTATCTGTATGCCGAATTTCATCAATTTCGGTTGGATGATTTAGAAGCCTATGAAGGACACACAAACAGACAGACATTCATTTATATATAGAGAGAGAAAGATTATTACATCAACCTATGTTGAAATCAGAATTTCACTAAAATATGTTACGTACTTATGCAGATAATTAACGAAATCTGAAATATCTTTCAATCAAAACACATGTACCGATCACGCATTTCTCCATTAGTTCTTCACAAATATTGCATATATAAAAAAAATATGGTTTGCTTCAGCACAGTTTTCTAAAAAAAAGTTTTCAAAACAATTTCTTAAAATATTTATTATGATTCTGTATGTATTAAAGCGGCCAACATAGGAGTTTTTATAAATCAAGAACTATAATAGTATTTTTTTTCAGAATTAAAGGAAGTAAGTCAATATTTTAATCTTTATTATTGTAACATTTAATTTAATGCCATGAAAATGTGACAATTGAGATCCAAAATTGATATTTCTCTTCGTTCAATGTATCTGTGGGTAAAGACCTTTAGACAATGCCAACCTTCATCTATCAAAAGGTCTTTGCCTTCACACGCAACCTTCTGATCATCCCGGGTCACCAAGGTTGGCATTGTCTAATGGTCTTTCCCCACATTGGTGACTTGCGGACGTGATATGATCACGCCTACTTCGATGGACGGTCCACATTGAATAGTTGACTTGCTAATTGTGACTGCGTCATCGTCCTCCTCTCCCTGTTGCTTCTCAGTCTCATTTACATACAACTGGTTTCTGCACACACTCGACTGCTAATAATAACACACACAACCATGAACTTAATACAGCTCTCATGGCTAAAGCTCAAAACCCGGTGACCTTAATCCAGCTCGCCCGGTCTTTCACAAATACAGAAACTAGTGGTATCCATTCATCGAATTATATCCTTGATAGAATTCTGGTGGGGGAGTATTGTGGCGTTACTACCAATACGAAAATTAAACATCAATTCACTAGAATATAAGACATGCTAACTTGATTCAATCTGGAGGTACCTTTTGATAGATGAAGGTTGGCATCGTCTAAAGGTCATCCCCCACATATCGTCCAATTATCAATGGTTAGCTAAACAACAATATATATTGTGATCTAACAAATAATTAAATTATACTACTCTTTCTAACAAAAAATTACGAATGTGTAAAATATCACTAAGAGGAAAAAAAAAGAAAAAAAAATATTTTTAATTCCTAAGCATACTCAATTACTATTTGTTTCAGTTCCTAAACAAAATTTGTTTTCCAGTCTGCAGATGTATAAGCAAAAGAAAAGTGGTGACTTTCAGAAATTCCAAATAATGTTCTTAAATTAATTCGAATTTTAAAACTAAAATAAATGTTTTAAAGATCAGAAGGAAATATATACATTGAATCATTATTCCCAGTGCTGAATAAGCACACAGCACAATGCAGAAAAAAAATTTCTTGACTTTTTTATGATATTAAGTTGACGTTATTTATTGCAAAATATTAATTAATATTATGAAAGTCTTAGAGTGGGACGTTCACGTAAATAATTCGATATTTATCTTAACGAGCAAAATGATCATTTATTTTTAGATCCAATCCACTCTTGTTTTTTCAATAAAAATCTTCGTTTATGGCACTGAAGAGAACAACTCAGGAAAATGGAAAAACAACGTCAAATTTCTTATATTTCATCAAAGGTACATTTCTCATACTTTATTATTTCTTATGAAATTCCTCACTTTTAAAAACATTTTCAAACTATTATGTTTATCTATATTTAAATTGCTGTAATTGTTAAGTAGAAAAAAATTATTTTTAGTGTTCTTTTATTTATAAGTAGTACATTAATATGATACTAGTTGTCTCAAAAGTGGACGACAATTTGAAAAATCAATGAAAATTGAAAGGAGATAGCAGTGATTGACTCAATTCATTCTGCGAAGGATATAAGTTGTTTTCTCCCACCAAATTTAAAAGTTAGTTGCAAAATTCGATAACAGATGGCATGCTGTCATAAAAGACAATAAAATAATGTTTCCTACTCCATATCAAACCGTTGTAACTGAATTATTTACAAGACCGTCTGTTAATTTTGCCCTCAGGTTGCACCACGTTGTTTTTGCAAATAGTATCGTGTGACAGCGCAACCTATTGACGAGATTTCTAACTAATTTTAAAATTTAGTAAAAGTAAATTATTTGGTATCCTTAAGCTTAAATGTGGCCTAATCTAAAATTATAAAGTGGCGCTAAAATCAAAGCTTTGTGCTTCAATTAGAATACAAGTATATAGATTCCTCCTGCAACAAAACATTCTCATTGCTTAAGGTATTGAGGAAATAGTCCTCAAATTCAAAAGAATCAAAGGTTTCAACATTGTACCTTGTTGTTGTTGCAAATATTAAGTTTAGTTTTTCTCAGCTGACAGCGCAACCTATTGACGAGCTTTCTAACTAATTTCTAAATTTAGTGAAAGTAAATTTTTGTTTTTTCTAAGGCTTAAAGGATTTTGAAGTGGAGCTAACATCAAGTCTTTGTGCTTCAATTTGAACATGAATATATAGATTCCACCTGCAAAAAATATTCTTATAACTTAAGGTATTGAGAAAATGGTCCTCAAATGGAAAAGATGCAAAGCTTTCAACATTACATTTTACTGACAAAATTGCAATACTACTGGAAGGAGCTACTTTAATTGCGTAAATAATTAAAACATTTCAATATGACACTCGTATTTAGTTAAAAGTAAACATTTCTGTTAAAAAATTTAGCAATTTAATTTATTTTTAATTTTTCATTGTTTATTTATCAACAATTTTTTTAATGTTTTCTGTATTTTCCTCTTATTATAATATCACTAATTTTTTAAATAATGAAATGAATTAATAGAATTAAAAATCATTCGAAAACTATACTCTGAAACATGAATTCGACCTTTTTTAAACACAGTCAAAAAGCTAACTAGAAATAAATTATATGACTTATAAAACTGTTTTTTTGTATCAAAGACTGTTTTATTGTATTATAACTGAACTGTTGCATCATAAATAAAATTTTGTGCTTTAGAATTGATTGAATCTTGAATTTAATATGAGTATTATAATTGTTTATTTTTTTCCATTTAGTATCCAAAGAAGGGGATGGAAATCCAGTTGTTATTGAAATAAAACCAGAAAATGACACTAATTCCAAAGAAACAGCGAGCAAATATTATCATTTCGTTAGTAAGTTTCTCTTAAATTAATCTAGTTTTCAAATAAGTAACATATATTATTTAACTATAATTTCATAAGGAAGAGGAATCATATATAGTTTTAATTATTAACTAATGTCGACATGTTTCGGGTATAACAATGCTCATTCTGACTGATAAGTGAAGATTTGAACGAATAAAAACTCGGATTCCGCAATATATTTTAATGCTTCAGATTCAACTAAGTGCCTTCCTTCTAAAACTGCATTAGCACTCATAAAAGAAATTTGGTACTCCCTCTTGGGTCATGCTTCTCATTGGCATTCTAAACACCTTCAAAATTTTCTGTCCCACAAGGCTTAGTTCCGAAAAGATAACTTCTGACTAAAACTTTGTTTGAGATTGGTGTTACTACAAAACGCACTTAGAAAGAAAAATAAGTTTGAAAAAAAAAATCAAATAAAGTGTTTACAAGTATCTAAGATGTTCAAAATGCATAAATAAATTTACAGTGGGCTTAAAAATTAACGTTTTCTTTCTTTCTTTTTTTTTGTTGACGGATTCGAAACAAAGGTTGACCCTCAAAATATAGAGGGTAGCCGTAATCTGGGAAATATGGTACTGTTGCTTTGGTCAAGAGAGATGTCCAAAGCTTGAACCCTTTAACGTTAATTTTACTTTTTGCTTATCTTATCTTATCTTGCGCATCTTTACTTATGCATTTATCTTTTGATAATTTTTTCAATTGCCATAAAAATTTCTCGAGATATGGCGAAATATGCAAAAAGTAAAATTAACATGCCAAAACTTTGGACTGCTCTACTGACCAAACTATTGGCACCATATTTACCAGATTGCGGCTCTCCCCTATATTTTGAAGATCAGAAATCCGAATTCGTCGGAAAAATAGGTATGTTTATTCAAAGAAAGTACGTTTTTGTGCCATATTTGATAAGTTTAAATATCGTCTACACTATTTAATTAGCATATCTAAGATCACCCCTTTGAACTATTAAGATTGAATCTTAGAACGTGTAGGTCCCATCAAAAGTCATCCATTAGATCAAAAATTATTCTGGGTGGTCCGCTTTCTAGTTTATGTACTGTCCATTGCATGCTCATTTACCTAACTTCTCCCCCGCAAGCAAAGAACCCAGAATAAATGAAAAAGAAATTTAAGAAAAATAATATTTTAAGTGATGAGTAGGTTTTTATTGCACAGGGGAGCCTGTTGGGGAGTTTCGTGGTCATTCTCTCAATATCACACCAACGTAAATTTATTCCACTCAAAGAACAAACATGTATTTTTTTTAAGTTTGTTTTCGTTCGTTATGTTAAATATCTAAACTATGCATGATTTTTTTTGAATTTCTAGAAACAATCTCAATTGTCATTCCGATGTGTTTCAATGTGCTGTCAATAATATTGATAATTATGGGTAAGAGTGAAACATTTTTAAGCCTTTTTCATTATTAAAGCACAGTTTAATATTGATACTTAATTTTTTTTTAAATTTTACGGAAATTTCCCAACAAGGGTTACGCGGTTGCAGGGTTAGAAAGCTAGAATAACTTAGGACAAATTAACGGTTACATTACTAGACTACTAAACTCAGGGGCGCGACAGCCCATAGAGGGCCAAGGCCTACTGTGCCCATCTCAGTTTTCTTGACCTTAGGCTCTGGAGTGCAGAAGCAGATGTTCCGGTCAGGTGAACGTGGAACCCCCAGTGTTTAGTTCCCAAGCATGCTTGGCACTCATTTATCGACCCACTGAAGGGATAAAAGACTGACTCAACCTTGCCCGGCCCGAGAATCGAACCCAGCACCTGTAGCATGGGAGTCCGAAGCGCTACCACTCAACCACCGGGCAACGGTTACATTATTAATGATTATTTTCTCAACTTGGTTTCTGTTTTCAATAAGTTGTTATTTAAGAAACGAGGTACAACCAAAAGACTATTCCCAGGAAATTAATTCACGTTGCGCAGGGCCCAATTTACAGATCCCGGGTGTACAGTTAACATGTTTTTTCGAAGCTCTGTGACCATGGAAGATATAAAACATTTTTAAAAAAACAGTTTAAATGCCTTACAAAGTGATGCAAAGTGATGATTTTAAACTATATATATCCTCTTGCCGTGAAGAATTATCTGGCTGGCAGAACAGACCAATAACTTAAATAGTTTAAAAGTTAATTAAGTTTTCTTAAAATCGCCAATTTGGAGATATTTTTCTACCTAGAAGAAAATTATCAAAATCCATACCTGTAACTGAAAAATTCTCAAGCTTAAATTCCGAGGGAGATTTAGATAGCAACATTAAGGTTTTCATATCCGTGGCTGGGTGGCGCAGTTAGTTTGTCGTCGGCCTTCTGAGTCCAAGTCTGCGGGTTCGATCCCCGGCCCAGACACCGGATTTTCGGGATGCAGAAAATCCTCAGCGGCCATGTCATATTATTATGCGGCATGTAAAATATCCCTGGAGTGCCTTATTGGCTCTTGGCATTTCCGGCAAAATTAAATTCCTAGTGCACTTTAGCATCCAAATAGAGTCTCGGTGCTGCCATCTAGTGTGGCAGAAACTAGACGTCCAAATTAACATGACCAACGGTATCTCACCCATTGTGGTGGTCCTGAAAGAGTGGATACCACCTCTAGAGAACGCACTAGGTCTGCTCATCCGCAAGACCGATTGTGCAGCTCATTGGAAATAGAAAGAAAAAAGAAAAAGGTTTTCATATCTAAAAACACTGAAAACTTGAAATATGGACAATTTTTCAGGTTTAATCTGATAAATATGCTCCTTCATTAATGGAATATATACACTTTTTATTCTTGGATTTAAAACCTTGTCTAAAAACTAACTTCAATAAAGCAACCTATCGAATCTAATGGGATATTAATTTTACGACTCCGGTTTTGTTTTATTTGTTAATTAAAAGAAGAATGTAATAAGGAAAGCAGTTTTTATTAATTTATTTGGAAATATTTTCTCTTTGTGTCCGGCTTCTACTAAGTTAAAACAATTACTTACTATTGAACTTTACTATATTAAAATATTCATAATCCATCTAATATATCGCTGTAGCTGCAAGACTGCTTTGATTTAGACACTAAAAACTTTCTACAGAATCAAAAATACATGAAAGTTAAAATTATTAATGGGAGAAATTCTCATATACTCTCAGAAAAACGATATCAAAGCTAAACTATAATATACAATTCCATTATTTAAGATTGTCATAATATTTGCAGATTTTAAAGCATAGAATGTCATAATATTTGCAAATTAACACTTAAAAAAAATCAAGTAGTTGGATAACTTTTGTTGAAAAAAACTCTTGGTGTCATTTACAATTAATCCAATTTGTATTTGCTTTTATGTATTTAAGTTTTCGTAAAAGTAATAAAATGGCTGTTACGGACGTAAAATTTTGTGTTACGCACAGGCTATATTGCTTTTGTACAACTAATTGCATTTTATACAATGCACAAATGTACCAAATTTTGTAGCAGAAGTTACAAACGCCAAACAGCTACGATACGCTCACTTTTTAGCACTGAAAATTGTACTGGTGAGCGTTGTTCTGTTTAGGGAGCATCTATCTTTGATAAGACTTTGCATTCACTTTAAATGCTCTCGTGAGAACTGGCTAATCAATTATATACACTTTGAGATTCACTCCGACTTTTTTTCCTATACGGACCTGAATAGTTACTACTTTATTGCTAACTTTATCATAAGCAACCTCTTTTTATTTGAGGAACACTTAAGAAAATATTTCAAAATTATATTCCTGATTTTTTCAAAAATTTACAAAATATTATTATTAAATATATTCTTATCATCCTATTAGTATTCGGTTAAACTTCTATGTGATGGTTTAATAATTTGTTCAAAAATGCAATTGTATTGTTAGGTAACAATTTATTATAATTTATTTATAGGAAGCGTTTATATCAGAGATTGTCACATTCAACCGGGAATACCTATAGTTATTCTTGTTATTGGAGTTCTTTGCATGATTCATTTACTCATATACTTTGCAACATTACATGCAACTAAAGTTCTCAAAGTCCAAAAGAAATATTTTAAAGAATGTTACAGAATTATACAATATACAATCTATTTATGTTTGCTTGCATGCTTTCTCATTGGTAAGTTGATAATTTTTTTAAAAATTTATAATTATATTCATTTTATAATCAGAATGTGTTCTGCAATCATTGCTCACAACATCTATTTTTACAATCCATTTTTAAGAATGAAGTCCAAAATGTAAATACATTGGGTTACGCAAGTTAATATTTCAGCAAATTTCCTTATGATAATCGATGCGTTTTTCGTAAATGATCAGATCACCATAAAACTCTTAATCTTCAATTTTTTAAAAAAAAATAACAATAAAAAAACACATGTTTAGTGTAAAGATGTTAACTAACCAACCCTACCTGACTTTTCAGATAAAAAAATTGCTTTTAATCTTAAAATGAAGCTTCAATTTTCAGCTTATCTCTCAATAATATATTCTAATAAGAAAGAGAGTTAGGAAATATTGAGCTATGTATAATTTTACAACTGCCATTTGTTATAAAAATATTTAATCATAATAATTAAGTAAAAAAATCAAAGAACTGTGTCATGGATTAAAATTTTTTTCTCTATCTTTTATTATCAACCCAAGTAAACTTGACATGAAAGACATATATTTAAATGACACGAATTACATAAATTAAATGACAGGAAATATATATAATTAAATGGCACAAATTACATAAATTAAATGACAGGAAATACATATAATTAAATGACACGAATTACATAAATTAAATGACAGGAAATACATATAATTAAATAGGTACAAAAACTTAAATTCTGTAAGTTATTTTTAGCAACTACTTTTTCATATTTTGATGCTGCTTTGTTTATTTTACAGTTAGGATAATTATGCATTTTCTATGTTTTAGAAACATATTTCGTGTTTTCTGTTCAAGATAAAGTTAATTACAGAGATTCGTCTAATGAAGAATATTGCAACCAAACATTGTATTTATTTGTATATTATAAAGTTATCATTATTTATTCCATATGGCTGGTTGTAATAATTGTAATCTTATGCTTTTCTGGCTGTTTCTGCTGCTATGAAGTTGTACCTGTCTCTTCTACATGATTTTTTTTTTAAAATTAAATTTAAAAAAATCTATTTGTTAATAAAGTTATTTGTGGTTATTATAATTCAAATTGGGATTTTTTGCCATTATTCTTAATTATTCTTTACCATTCTTCTATCATCATTTACCATTTTTATTCCTTTACAATTATAATTAAATGAAATAAGAAATCAACTAAAAAACTACTTCATTCTTTTTATTTAATGGCTACTTGACGTGCTAGTATTGATTCTTTAAGCTACTTTGTAAAATAGTTTCTGAAAAACAAAAACTTAAGAATACAATTTTTAAAAAAATGTTTTATTGCTCAGAAACTAATGGATCGATTTCTTGACTTCATATTTTGGATTTTGTTATTTAAAATTACACAATTTTAAATGACAAAATATCTTAAAAGTAAAAAATACTTCTAGCCTTATAAAATTAAACCTTTGTTTGATTTTAGTTTCTGGATAAACTTGCTTTGCATTTAAGGATAAAAATATTTTGTCTACATTGAATAGTAGCTAGCTAGATTTCTTACCAGGAGAATTATTTTATCTAGCTTAACTAGAGACATTGTGAAATATGTAAAAAATACGTAAAAGACATTATTGGGATCAAAATGTCAACTTTTCTCTTGACTAAACATTTTTGAAACCATATCTTCCAGATTGCGGTTAATATTTTGAGGATTAAGAAACTGAATCCATCGAAAAAAAGAAAGAATATATTTAAAGAAATTCCACTTTCGTGTTCGATTTTCTAATTTAAAATACGCATATCAGAGTAATTGCTATTTATTAAAAATATCGTTAATATCCCTAAAATCTATAAAATTACTCTAAGAATTCATTATCTCAAAAGCTTTGAAACTTATGAATGAAACTTTTTTCGAAAAATATATCTAATAGATTTAATTTTTTGTTTCAAAGAAACATATTTCATAATCTTATTCAAGTTTTAATTTTCGCTATTTATCAATGTTTTCTATTTATGAAAGTTATTTATCAAAGTTTATCAACATACATATTTTATCTTGAAAGTAAGTGAAAAGCTTATCTACATTTTTTTCTTAGTTTAAAACGTTTGTTTGGTTTTATTTCTTCATACAAAAATGAACTTATTGTATCCTTCTAATCAAAATAAATAAACTATTTTTCTATTATGAATTTAACCTTTGTATGTTCCATACAGATTCGAACTTTTTTAGTTTTATTAGTTCAATTTGAAGAAAAAAATTATCTCAACTTTTACAATGAATTTTCGCAAATTTTTTTAAAAATCAAGAAACAGGTTTTTTAAAATCTAAATTAACTATTGAATTGCAAATGATAACCATAATCGCTTAATTGACAGCTCAGCTCAGCAATTGTATAGTATACAGTTATCCGCTTATTGAAGACTTTAAAAATGAACTCTGAAGTGATTAACTTTTATCCCTTAGCCGCAAAATTTTCACTAAACATATTTTTCATGATCTTTTCATTATTTTGTATCAATTTGTATCAAAATAAGTGAAAAATATTATATTTAGCTTTTTAATAATTTATGGTTATGAAATACAGCATTTTCATAACCGTATTTTTCTGCGTAAAAGGTAAAATCTTTCAAACACAACTCTCTTCTAAACAATAATTTTTCAAATTTGCATATATATTTTCAATTATTTAGAGCAAAGAGAAACAGTTATTCGTCATTGAAATTTATAAAATCAGTAAAAAGGCACCAGTGTTCTATTTGTGTCAAAGAATTTAGATATGAAATTTAACATTTAAGACGTTTAGTTTTCTTATCATGCAGTAACTATGTTTTCATTGTTTTAAACTAAAGGTTTGAAAATCTTCTCAAAAAGCACTTAAAAAAAGCACCTTGTTTATCTAATTGATCCCCAAGCAAAAACGAATCGTTATCGTTTTCTGTATTCAATCACAGTTACCCCACGCTTCTTTACATAACTTTCAAGTTTTTGAGAGAAATAGCTTTTCGAAACGAAACAAAATTTTACACTACGCTAAACACCCAATGCAAAGCCGCTTTGCCCGAGGGTTTATTTCAAAAATAAAAATTAAAAAGATTTTTTACCTTTTGAAAAACAAAGCTAAAAATAAACAAACTTATATATTTGTTTAAGTGCATGCTAGATTATGCCTTTACGAGAAGAAGAATCGAATATCATCGAATACATTAAAGAAATATTTCCAAAGATGTATTAGAAATTCTCCCTCAAGCTCATCCTAATTCTCTCCACACGTAGGTTTTAATTACTTACATCCGCATGTGAATGCTTAATTAATTACACTTTATAATTGTTATGTAGATTTCTTAACATGATTAAAAATAAAAAAGTGATTTTCATCGAATATTGATATTTTTGTTCATAAACAACTTTTTCAAGGACAACTAGATAAATATGAAAATTAGGTGCCTTCATTATAATCTAATTGCGCACATCTCTTAGTCGCTGGGAAAGAATATCCTTTGCTTTTAATCACAAATAATAAAAAAAGTTAACGGGTTTACTTTTGTTTTCATAATCACACTTCCAAAATCTTGAGTTAATTCTAAATTCATTATCGGTTAAGAAAAGTAAATATGTAAAATAATTGTATATATTTCAAACGTATGATATTGTTGTTTACATTTTTACAGATGTTGAAAAGAAATAAACTATAGAAAGTATAGTAGTGACTACCTTAAATGTACATGGTTAGAATTCTAGTGACAAATCAGGTAACAGAAATTAATATTAGGAATCGCATATTAATATTTAACCGAAAAAATAAAAGCAAAATGGTAATCTAGCGAATTACTGGTGAAGAAAGCTGGATTGAAGGCATCAAAACCTGTTGGCGAACCTGAAGTCAAAAGGCGTGCACATTGGAGTTGCTAAAGAATGCTTAAACTAGAAAAATTCGCAATTGAACTCTGACAAGGAGGTGTGTGTAAAAAATCATGAAAACCTGTTTAATTTCTGGAGAAAACAGGGAGGAGTTGAACGATGATTATAAGCAAATCCTTCAATTTTGTCAGGCAATCAAACTGGTTTTGAGCTTTTTATTCCAACTTCTTCGCTAGCATTTTGGAAGATTTTGGAAGCATTTTCTTTTCTTTTTTCTTATATTTTAATTTTCACTTCCTAATGTGCATTTTCTATCTTACCTTAGTCACTTCTGAGTATTACAACCTGAAATTATGCAGAGAACTTTCTATTTATAGTGAAAAATAATTGTCGTCAAATTGATTGAATGGTCGTATTCACAGGTATTCTAAAAAAATTCTGAGTTAAACTGGAGTTCACATTGTTTATTTAGTTCATGTGAGAAAAGGCAGAATTTTCATGCAATACATAATTGACAAAACAAAGGCTAATTGTTTGATTTATACCCACATTTGTCAACTGAAGAGAAATAAAATCAATTCTTCGTCTTTTTTTTTCAATATAGAATCAGGAAATATAATGAAAACATTTTAATTGAACTTTTTAATGATTTTTTGGGGCTGAAGCTGCAATCTATTAAAATTACAATCTAATACAACAAAGCAATATAGTTACAATCACAATTTATTACAAATAAAAGCAATCTATCTACAATTTACTACAAAATAGGTTATCCGTTCAATGTTCAATAAAACTTGAGAAACTATGGACGAGAGTTTAAAATGCTGATAAACTCTTTTCACTTGTATTATTTTTGAGAGTGAGAAAAAGGTTTTATTTGTTTTTTGAGGGGGTGATAAAAACAATTTTTTTCCCCTCTGTGAATTTTCAGCACATTATTTAGTCAATTCCTTCCATTTCATTTTATTTTTCTTCATGAACGAATTACATTGTCTAACAGTTGTTTCCGCTTTTAAGCTTTTTATTTATATGTATGTAAATAAACAAACAAAACATTAAAATAATAATAAATAAAAAAAACTTTCTCTCTGTTTATGTCACTAACCATCCTTTAAATGACAACTTTCCAAGAAAGGTTTGTTTGTTCAGGCTGCGAAAATCACAATAAGAAAAGTAGTTTGTAGAAAAACAGAATTCATATTCCATTTCCAATTCCACGTTTATTCATATTCCAATGAATAAACAAAATTTAATTATATTTATTCATGGAAATAAACATAAAAGTCATTACATGAGAATAATTTTTCTGTTCCGCATGCTTTATGAATGAGAAAGTTTTAAATTTTAAGGTAACCTTAGGATAATTAATATTAAAATAATGAAAATGTAGCAAGATAGATTGATAGATGTAGACTTTGGGGGTTTATTTTAAAAATCTAAGCTATTAAATTTTACTAAGTTTACTGGTTTCTTACGTCATACATGAACTTCGAAAGTCGCATACAAAACAAGGTAAGTTTTAAGTGAATTTGGGCCTCTGTTTTAAAAAGAATGTTTCACTAGACTCTAGAAATTTTAAAAAAATTGAGGAAAGTTATAGGGAATATGAATAGACGCGTAAGTGTATATAATAATTACGTATTAATTTTCATAAGCGCATTAGATTTTTGGAAAGCAAATTCATTTTATAAGATAGAAAAATTTATATTAAATAAAATCATTTAATTTTTTTTTCTTTTCGTTTATAAAGATTTTAGGCATACAGAGCAAAAAAATTTAAAATAAATAGTCATTAAAGTGATCTTGAATAAAAGTGTTGACAAAAATGAATTAAAAAATGGCTGTGTGGAAAAACTCAAAAAATGGGCGGGAAAGAAATAACATTTAGAATATTAATTTCGCAAATTATAATAATACGTTCTTTTTTTAACATATTGTTCCAAATAGCATTCTTATTTAATTTTTTTTTTTAACAATTGTACTCATTTTAATACTGTTTCAAACATTTATTTATTTTAGTTTGCCCGCATAAAATTCCATTCTGAAATCACCAATTTTTGCTCGGTGACATTAGAGAATTTGAGATTTTTTCTTCTTTGTAAACATAAAACTGTTATTTATATTCAAATTTTTTCAAAATTATTTGAGATTCAGACACTTGGTTAAATTATAGCATCAAACTATTCATCCACGCTCCTCGGTAAGGCGATTATGCAATGTAGGAAGAAAAAAATATTTGCTAAGGAAAAAAGCAAAAGCGCCGTAGCTGAGAAAAATCCACAAAATACAAATTAATTTTTATCTAAGATCCAGTTAAAAACCTACAAATACTGAAACTAAACACAACAGCGCACTAAAGGATCTGGAAAGATCTAGTTGAGCCATGGTGACGTCGATTTAAATGCCATGTTGCCATACCCCTGTTTCTAATATATCTCGATAACTGGCTTGCCGCCAATGCTTATGATCTCTTTTCCATTCATCTCTGCATGTGAAAGCTTTGCTCCTCAAGATGTCTGATAAAATGTTGGACTTCGTAGTACGCAACGGTGTGGAAAGCGTAGATAACGGGCTAAGTACATTTTTATTTACATCCGAATCAGTCGGAGAAGGGCATCCAGGTAAATAAATTAAAAATTCTAGCCTTTAATATGTTTTTTTATTTCTCTGTATGCCTTCTGTAACTCACGTGGTGATAAGTTATTTTTGCCGGTCTTCGGCATATAATACGATATGGATCTAAAATAGTTTGCAAGATTTATTGCTAATTTCATATTAGATTCCTATTAATTGTTTGATTCTTTTACATAAATGTATAAATTGTTTTGTAACGTCGATGCGCTTTGTTAATGTTAAGCCTGCCATTTATAGCGGGTGCTAAACAATTAGAGAGTATTTTTTATTTTAGCTGTATACAAATTTATATAAATTTCATCACATATTTGTGTATTTTATAGAAAAAAGTTACGAAGATTTAGTTTTTCAAAATAATTGTCTCACCAGTTTGTTTTTAAATCTTATTCAATAGATGAATAATCAATAAGTTCTGTATAAAATAATATTTTGATATTTGTTTTTTAGTGTAATGCTTACTTACTAAGCCTTAGTATTTAACTCACTATCTTAAGTGTATGATTTATATTGTAATTCTGTCCATAAATTACGTCATGCTATGGTTAACTGATTTTCTAATGTTCAAATATAGATTAAATTTTTTCTGTGTGTTGATATTAAATTCAAAATGTGTGCATGTAATCAGTTAGTTAATACTAATAAGTTTATATTTACTCAATATCTTAAAATATGCTCAATACATTTTTTGTGTCAGATGGTGCATTTGCCTATTAGAAAAATAAATGAGGACTAAAAGTCTTCATTTAAATTGTACAATGTATCATTTTCCTTAATATTTATTAAAAGTTTCTAATAGTCCAAACCAGTGTTTTAAATTGTTTTATTCACAATGATTGTATTGTATTCGAGTGTAATTGAATACTGTCCCTAAAACCAAATTTGCCCGAAACATTTTGTATTTTGCACAACAATCGCAATGATTTATGTTACCATGCTCTTGCATACTATGAAGAATTAATATCAAAGTTGTGATAAAAAAAATCTGTATCGTCATGTTCCATTATGTTAGCAGTTATTCAAAGTTTGAACAATTATTTAGCACTTAAAAATTATTCATTATTTTAAAAAGCAAACTAATATGCTGAATTGGTCTATTTTTGAAGATAAAAGATTATGTCTTTGTAGAGAACATTCACTAGAATTTTTCTCCGAAGTAATGTTACATATTATTGCTACTTAATTAAGCATTAATTTTGTAGCATTTTTTTTTAATCCAGTAGCAGTGTTGGGTTTTTGTTGTCACAAACTGGTTTTTGACATGACAGTGGTAAAAACAGTCAAAAATCTACTGCTTTCTTTCATTTATGGCGTATAAAGCGAACAATATATTATTTTCACATAATTGACTTTATAATGAATGTTGTAAATGATTGCTATTGATTTTGCAACTATATACATGCATTCTTATAGAAGGATATACCTTCATACAGAAATATTGTAATATACTTGTTGAAAATAGTGATACTTACTTTTATCATTATAGCTTGATTTGCAAAGGATTCAAAATTTTGCACTTCTTAATTGTTATTAATAAATTCATTAGCTAAAAAGAAGAATTTAAAATTTGGCATTTCTTAAATATTAGAAATAAGCTAAACAAAACTTTCAAAACTTTTAACTACTAACAAACTCTAAGTCAAGAATTACTGCTATTTCGTCAAGAAAAACTTTCATTCAGTTGAAAAAGCACATTAAATGAAAGTTAATTACAAACAGAATTACATGTTCAGTAGTCGAGGTCACTGTGCCGAAGCATATGATAGCAAGTGACTAATTTTGCGCATTTTTCATTGCCCAGTCGATTTCTTAGTTTAGTATGGCTGAGTCCTTCTACATTGCTATCGCAATGTTGCAAGGAAACTCTAAAAGAATTTCCCAGGCTTTTTCATGTCTCATTTCTGTGTAAAATATTGAAAGCAAAATTGATAAAAAAAAGTTTATTTTATGAGGCTTTCTTTTTATGTGTACATGTGTTTCTCAAAGCAGGATTTTATGAATGAAAGTAATCAATCTTAACATTTTTCAGTAACTTAATATGCCAAACAAAATGATGCTTGGAAATGTTGAAAATTTTGTTTAGTATCCTAATATTTTACTTCAAGTAGTATATTTTGATATAATCATGTTGGGAAAATGCAAGAATCTATTCTTAAATCTCTTTTAACACCTTTTTTTTAATTTTATTGCCCAAAAATGAATTAATTTTAAATTATAAGCAGTTAAAAAATAAAAATAGTTTTACCAAAACTATGGGTTTTTTGACATGACGGTAAAAACAGTCGTGTCAAAAACTTGCCAACCATGTCCAGTAGTTGATATATTATGTCTAAATCGTTATATAATAAAATATGATAGGCTGTTAAACAGTTGCAGCACATTTAGTAGTTATCTTATTAATATTAAAGTTTTTATATTATTGAAAAAAAATTTTAAAATGTCCAGTTAACCAAAGAGGATTAGGATAGATTTCCGTAGCGTGATCTGTGGCAAAATAATCTGTATTACTTCTGGACATCGACCCACAAGAAACTTTTTTTTTAAATATCACGGAAAGGGACCAACACGAAAGGTATAACTCGTAACCCCCCTGCGGAAAATGTCTACATGTTTTTTTTTTTTAATATCAAGTTTAAAAATCTATTTGGCATCTTGGCGATTGTGTTGGTGCAACAGATCGCAATATGGAAATATTCCCTAAGATTTAAAATAGCTGTTCTATGTCTGAAGAATATTAAAAATTTGTAATTGTACATTTATTTAAATCAGCTATAATTTAAATGTTTTTATCACACTAATGTTTTAGAATTAAGGGTAATTTTGTATTACAGATAAGTTATGTGACCAAATTAGTGATGCTATTCTCGATGCCCATTTGGAGAAAGATCCCAATGCCAAAGTTGCATGTGGTATGTATCTGTGTTACCTAAATGTATTTTTATTGATTAGATTTCTCATACCAATAAATCAAATATTTTAACCCAATATAATAATGGAATTAAAGAATTTTCACGTAACCTTTCTTTGTAACTTATTTATACAAATTGAAGAATTGTAATATTTGTAATTTTTATTTAAGAAACTGCGGCTAAAACTGGGATGGTCATGATTTTTGGAGAAATAACATCTAAAGCTCATGTAGACTACCAAAAGATTGTTCGTGAAACTGTAAAAAATATTGGATATGACAGTTGTACGAAAGGTTAGTTTATTCATAGTTTCTGATCTTTTTGTTTTCTTTATCTGAAATTGTAAGGTTACATTTCTTGATCAAAATTATTATTTTAAAATACAGGGATGTGATTCTTCCGCGGATCCGCTGATTTCAGATTTTTTCAGATTTTTCCATATCTTCCACTCTTTTTTCATAAATTTCCGCATGGAAAAATTTTTTATGCAGTAAATTATATTTTGTTTAAAATTTTTTTTCTTCCGGAGCGAAAGTATTGAAGCCCCCAATAAACCTTTCTTCACATGTCAATCTGCTGGCTGGGGTAAAAGTGGTTGACCTTGGTAAAACAATGCCGTCTCCTACTCCACTACTCTCTTATCTTTTCAAGGATAAAAGACTTTTTAAAATTTCCGACCATGTTCCAAAAACTTTTGGGGAGTCGAACGAACGATATAGTCGGACTTGCGACGAAGTAGCCTCTTGAGAAAATGATCTTCAGAAGAAAATGGGTAGAATTTCGGCATGTACGCCGTTGCCTTGACAACCGCTATAGATTGGAAAAAAGAAAAAAAGTCCTAAGCAGTTTCGTTTCGGCCGCTGATATTTGATTGGTTGATTTACAGAATTTTAAATATTAGGAACTGGGCCAGAATCTGCTAAAATTGCGATTCTTATTTAGATGATTTTTATGTAAATCATCGATTTTCGTATTTAACTGATTTAAAAGTTACTTGTTGAGATTCGTTTTTACACGATTTAAAAATCATTACTCGCAATTCCCATTCACGCAATTTAAAAATTCAATATCGCGATTTGTATTTAAGCGTTTTTAAAACCCAATATCGCGATTTGTATTTAAACGTTTTTAAAACCCAATATCGCGATTCATATTCCCGCTAGTTTAAAATCCAATGTCGCGATTCGTATTCATATATATTTTTAAATTTCAATATTGCGATTCGTTATCACGCGGTTGTAATATCAAACATCGATTTTCGTATTTATACGCGGTTTAANNNTATACATTCATACAGAAATATTGTAATATACTTATTGAAAATAGTGATACTTACTTTTATCATTATAGCTTGATTTGCAAAGGATTCAAAATTTTGCACTTCTTAATTGTTAGAAATAAACAAACAAACAAAAAAGCTTGGAACTATTAATAAATTCAGGAACTAAAATGAAGAATTTAAAATTTGGCATTTCTTAAATATTAGAAATAAGCTAAACAAAACTTCTAACTACTAACAAACTCTAAGTCAAGAATTACTGCTATTTTGTCAAGTTAAAAGCTTTTATTCAGTTGAAAAAGCACATTAAACAAAACTTAATTACAAACAAAATTATATATTCAGTAGTCGTGGTCACTGTGCCGAAGCATACAATAGCAAGTGACTAATTTTGCGCATTTTTCATTGCCCCGTCGATCATTGAGGATAATGATAACAAAAGGTTAGTGCAATGTTGCCAGGAAACTCTAAAAGAATTTCCCAGGCTTTTTCATGTCTCATTTCTGTGTAAAATATTGAAGAAAAAAAATGATAAGAAAAGTTTATTTTATGAGGCTTTCTTTTTACGTGTACATGTGCTTCTCAAAGCAAGATTTTATGAATGAAAGTAATCAATCTTGACATTCTTCAGTAATGTAATATGCCCAACAAAATGCTTGGAAATGTTGAAAATTTTGATTAGTATCCTAATATTTTACTTCAAATAGTATGTTTTGATATAATCATGTTGAGAAAATACAGGAATCTGTTCTTAAATATCTTTTAGCAACTTTGCTTTAAATTTTATTGCTAAAAAAAATGAATTTTAAATTATAAGCAGTTAAACTCAAATAAAAATACAGTTTTATCCAAACTATGGGTTTTTGACATGACGGTAATAACCGGTAAAAACCGTCATTTGTCAAAAACTTGCCAACCCTGCTCTTAATAAATATATATATTGTTCAAAGTATGTTTTGAAAAAATTACTTTCAGCTTCATAATATGAAGATAAAAATATGCAAATAACTCAAGTTAAAAATTTAAAAAAATTATTCTTACCAACCCTGTTCATAACTAATGTTTTCACATTTATAAAAATAGGTTTTGATTACAAGACTTGTAATGTTTTGGTTGCAATTGAACAACAAAGTCCAGATATTGCATCTGGAGTGCATTTAAATAAAACTGAAGATGAAATTGGAGCTGGTGATCAGGTAATATATGTTTCAGATAATAAATATTACACTGCCAATGCTATGATGAAAATCTTGTAACATTCCAACTTGTAGGTAGTCCTGCCAAATGGTTATAATGTCTAGCAATCTCATTATGAAATACTCTCTTTGGTTTATGAAAATGCAGATAATGTTTTAAACTTAGTATCTAAAAATAAATGATAGTGATCTAAAATAAAGTATTTTGCTAAGATCTTCTGAGTCATAAATGCCGGTTATTTTTAGCTATATATGATGTGTAAATATTACTTTCATATAATCCTACAGAATCTTCAACATTTACGAAACACAATTTTTTATTTAGTTAATTGTTAAACGATTGTTTCTTAAAACACAATTGTTGAATTTTTGCCTACTTCTGAGTTTTTTTAATGCAGCAGTAGTCCTAACGCGTTGGAACTGGAAATTTAAAAAAAAAATAAACAGCAAATGCAGATACTAAATTAGCGATGCAACATACAAATATTTGGTATTAGTCTATACTGCTGAACGCAGAATATTAATTTCGAACGAATAAAGGAAGAAGCGTCTACTGAAGACAAAATTTAGTTCGTTTACATCTGTCTTCCTCCCCCCCTTCCTGGGAAGGGTTTATTCAATTAATAAAACAATAATGAAGATAAACAAATTTGTGAAGGGTCCAATCAAAAGATAAATTATTTTGTGAAGGGTCTGTTTTTATGAAAAGATATTTTGAGAAGGGTCCGATAACGGACCCAAATTACTTCTAAACAGACCCCTGTATAGGGATTAGATTTCATTGAATAGTTTTTCAGCAGTTATGTAGGTAATATAACTGCTGATATATAGATATTTTAATTCAACATTTTAGAGTGCAGTGTTGGTTTTTTACTTTTCTTATCTATAGAAGATTTTTTCAACATTCGTATATTGGTACAACTGGGTATCAAAAAGGGAGAAAATTGTATATTTTTCTGAAAAATATTATGTGAAAAAGTATAAAAAGAATTTCAATCATTGTTTAGGTTATTTTACTCAGTCAGTTAACATTAATCATTGTTAGTGTATTATACTTTTTGTATGCTGGTTATAAAATCTTTAAAATTCAAAATAGCTTAAAAATTTCATATTTTAAAGTTAACAGAAGTTTAATATGTCTCGTAACATCTACTGAATTTTTTAGTTTCCATGTTGGCAAATATTTAATTAAGCATACTAAAGTTGGTTAATTGATAAAGTTTTTAATGTATTAATTTCACTATAGAATGTAAATTATTTTTGTTAGAAATAAAAATTTTAAATTTTATATGTGAATTTGAATGACAAGCTGAAATAATATGTATTTTTTGTAATATTTATTTTAAGGGTTTGATGTTTGGATATGCTACTGATGAGACAGAAGAGTGTATGCCTCTAACTGTTGTTCTTGCCCATAAATTGAATGCCAGACTTGCAGCTTTAAGAAAAGAGGGAGTTTTTTCATGGGCTGGACCAGATTCTAAAACTCAAGTAATGCTGCTTTTAATTATTAGTAGATATGTTTTAATTAATGTTGTAAATAGAATGGCTCACTGCTTAGTTTGAATGTTAGTTAAAATGAGAAATATTTATATATTATCAAAGAGTTCTAGTTTTCTTAAAGCATATATATAAATCAGGGTTCGAAGTTGTCCTATAAATTCTTGGGAGAAAAAGTGTTCTTAATTTTTAAAAATTTCGGTAAACATCCTGAAATTTTTGTAATATCCGAAATTTTTGTGGAATTGTTTAGTATGTATTATATGCAGAGTTTACAAAAACCAGTGTTTTTTTAATAAGGGAGAAAAAAATTCTAACCTGGGATAATTTTATTCAGTTTTTTTTTTTTTAAGGGTATTACATAGTTTTAAACATTGTTAGGTTTAATTTTTAATTCAAAAGAGAACAATTTTAGTTGAAAAGAACTTTCATAATTAAATAATGAATTATAATAAGAAAAATGGCTTTAATTTTGATGTAGTACAGTAGGGAACCGATTATCCGGAACGATCGGGACCATCGCTATTCCGGATAAATGATTTTTCCGGTTTTCTGAATCGCTACAAAAAGCCGTTTTTTTAATGTTAAACCCAACTAAAAAAAATTTTTTTTTTGGAAATAAACCCAACTAAAAAAAATTTTTTTTGGAAATAATCTTAAAAAGAAGAAAAAACGATGGAGTAATACACTAATGATTATTTCCAAAATGATGGTAAGGTAAACATCTTTCAAAAAAGAACGAAAAATCCTAAAATCTTATGAGGAAAAAAAAAAAATTTTTTTTAAATGGCGGGAAAATTTATCGAATTTCGTTCCGGTTTTTTTGGTTTTCCGGTTTTCTGATTTCCGGATAACGGGTTCTGCACTGTACCATCTTTTCATGCTGGTATTAATAAAAAGCTCCTAAATTAATTCCTTCTTTGTCTAAAAATAAATGCATGATATTGGGGTTAGAGAAATATGCTGTTTTATTTATTTGTTTTTAAATATATGGTATAGTTTCCTTTTCTCTTTTGTTAAATAATGTAAGACTTGCAGACCAACTAACTACACTGTTTATTTTACAATTTTCTTAATAGTTTTTTGGCAGTAGATTGCGTAAGGATGTCCTTTTGACTGCTTTTTATTTCAATTAGAAAAACGATGTTTAATATGACACAATTTCTTAGAATTTGGCAACTTTTTGTATGACATATAATTTTTTTTTATTGTTAATATTTACTAATAACTTGTTATACAGTGGAACCCCGATTTTACGTTGTACGTTTCACTGTATAACTGTAAATAATATTGAAAATTAATTTTAAACAAATTTCTTTATGCATTAGTTATTCTTTCACATTCCAGTTATTTTGACTGCTTTTGGGCAATATAGGTATATACTAAGTTAGTCTTTCTAGTGTTGAATTGCTATTTAAACTATGTATTTAAAATTAGTTTTGCTGTGAGTTCAATAATTAATAATCTGAATAAAATAATTAAACATGTTGTGATAACAATCCCTCACTATAAAATATAAAGAGCTACACTACACTGCTCCCACCAGACTGCCGGTAGCGTGTGTAGAGACTTGAAAAGATGATTTGATCATTTTTTCGGCTTTTCCCCATGGATTTTCAAATTTGATATTTTTAATACAATATTGTTAGAACTTGCTAATTGACTACACTCTTTGAAACTCTGAATTCACAGCGATTTTATCTCACTTTTATGGCGTTTTGCCATAATTTTTACGGAAGTTATTAATCCTTTTTCACGTGGTTTTTCACCCCTTTACGACACAGCAACATTGTCACAGAATGTTGCTGAGTTCTTGCAGAAAGATTCTTCCTTTGGGGAGTAAAAAATTTGGTTTTCTTTTCTGTAGAAATTTTTGTTCTATTCTCTTTTTTTCATGCTGTTATTCCTATTGATATGTTCATAGCTTTTAAAATCCTATACTTTTATTGCAATGTTATTGATTACAACTTAATCTCGAAATAAAAACACTAATTTATGTGCACCGTTTTGAAGAGTCTGATATGTGTAATTTCCCCGGTAGTTACTGCTACGGATTTCATGATTTTTATATATATATATTTAATGTGATTATGATTTACAAAATGCGAAAAAGGTATCTTACAGAAAAAAGTTTTTCGGCTGTTATTTATCATTTTATTAGCCCTTTTCATGTGATTTTTTTTAAATACCAATATTTTTAATATGGTGCTATTACGACGCTCGAAATATTTCGATATCATTTCCAGTTGTCAGGTAATGTTAGGTCGCTTGTGTGGATTTTCTAATAATGAAGTATCGACACGAACTTTCCAGAAAACCTAATCCGCAGTTATTTATACTTTTTTTTTCCGACTTCTGCTTGGTCGCTCGTGTGGATTTTCTAATAATGAAGTATCGACACGAACTTTCCAGAAAACCTAATCTGCAGTTATTTATACTTTTTTTCAGACTTCTGCATCTAGTTTTTATATTTAATTCCCAATATCCTTATAAGATTTAATGTGACATTTAAATTTCGAATTTCAGTTATCACTTTTTATGGGGTGGTCGATTCCATCTTAATTGACATTGTTTCTGGTAATTTCCATTTGTTTCTTATTCTGATAATTTTTATAGGATATCATTACAACAGGGGATTTTTTTTTTTTCCAATTTGCAGAGTTACTTTTTGACATTCTTATTATCTTTCTTATTCATTTAGAGCGATTCTACAGTACTTCTTTTCTAAATGTTCTTTTGATTTAATATTGCTTATACACATTTATGCTTTTAGGTCACTTGTGAATATAGTTTCAAACGAGGAGCTGCTATTCCTGTCAGAGTCCACACAGTTGTTGTATCTACGCAGCACATGAAAGAGGTTTCATTGGATTTAGTACGTAGTGAGGTTATGGATAAAGTGATAAGACACTGCATTCCTGCTGAGTATCTGGATGAAAAGACAATTTATCATATTAATCCATGTGGTGAATTCATAATGGGTGGACCAATGGTGAGTGCTGCTTTGTCTATTGTTATTTGCTAATTGCATACACATCCATGTCCTTCATTTCACATACAGTACACATTTTCATTCTTAATTGTGAATTCACTATAAAAAGACAATTCAGACATAGCAGATCTTATTTTCTAGTGATATTTTACCCTTCCCTTTGAGCATGTGCTTCATACAATACAAATTTTCATTCTTAATTGTGAATTAACTATAAAAAGACAATTCAGAAATAGCAGATCTTATTTTCTAGTGATATTTTACCCTTCCCCCTTGGCGCATGTGCTTCCGTGTGATTCTTCTGCTAATTTGCCGAATTTCACCAATCTTTAAGACTGTTGATTCACAGACTTTTGCAATTTAACAATTTCTATTTTCTATCAAATTTTTCAAGGGGTTCCATTTGTCTGGAATTTAAATTTTGTTGTTTACAGAAAAGCTCATTTACACATCTATTCCGCCCTTTCCAGCACCCTCTTTTTTTTCACAATTAATAATGACCTTTTTTTTATCCGGATTTGTTAGAGAAAAGAGCAATATCAGATGCACTTAGAGATAAAAATATCCATAACTTTGGCAAAAATTAATGACTTACTGAGACAAACACAAAAGTATATAGAATTTATTATCTGAAAAGTACTTCCATAGTGACCAACAAACATTTGAAAGATTGCTCACTAGAGAGAATCTTTTCTTCTATATTTAAATTAGTTGGAATTTTGTTGCAAATTCTGATTTGTATCAGACAATTTATTTAATCAATTTGATATATTTATCTCCTGCTTTATTTGGCTACAATTAGATCAATTAATGTTTAATATAATATTAAGACGTAGGAATTGCGAATCTCTCAATTCAGTACTCACTGTTCAACACTCTCTATGCCATCGTAAATCCGTGTCTCATTTTCCTTTTCTTCTATTCAATTGCAGTTAATGCAAAATTTGAATTATGCTTTAGAGTAATCACTTTTTGTTTTTAGTATTTCTCATTTTTCACTTCTGTTACATTATGCAAAAGTCAACTTGTGCATTTATTAGTAGCTTTTTAGAACTACATCTCCACTATTTTCGGGGGTGTAGACTTTCTTTTGGTTATTGATGACGATATCTGTGGTTTTTTTTAAATGCGGATATTTTCATATAATTTTATTAAGAAACATTCTAATAGCACACTCAAATATATACTTATGGAACTGCTCAAGTTGTGCATCCATGCTGCGTGTTGATTATTGTATTGACAAAACAGGCTCTACCATAGACTAAGTCTGCCTTAATAATAGGAAGAAAAAAGGTAGGCATTACCCTATCTAATATAAAATGAGTAGTAGATCAAAGAATTCTCAATATCATTTCGGGATAACTATATTGCTGGTTTTCTTTATGTGAAGAAATCAACTTTCGGCATGCATATTGTGCTGTTTGCAGAATGACTTTTCTGTTATCTTTCGGCAGAAGAAATTACATTAAAAACACATGAATTCAGATAAACATCAACGACAAGCGTTATCTAATTATTTTTCAAGTTTGTTGGTTGAGAAACAAAAATCTGTAATGAATGCATTGCTGAACTATAATTCACTGATTTTCTGGTTGCACTCAATATTCCGATTGCAGCCCCTGATCACACTGGAAGATTGTTTTAAAAAATGTTTCCAGGTAACAAAAATAGCCAAGAAATATGACTGGAAAAACTAAGGCTAAAGCTATAATTAGCCTGTTAGTATCAGAAAAAAATGAAAGATATATGAATTTAGCTACTAGTCAGTGGTTGAAGTGTTTTATGTTTCATCTTATTATATTGCTTAAAAATTCTTCATATGTGCATGTTATTATTTATTTAATTTTTACTGTTGCGATTTTAAACATACAGTGTTTTCATCTCAGAAAAAAAAATGGGTGAGAATTTCTCACCCTTTCTCAAAAACAGACTTAAAAAAAAAAAACATTTCTTTAATTATAATGCATTTTTGACATCTTCTAATTTTTAAAGCATTGAATATTTTAGCTGCATCATCATATGGAAAATGTTCTACATCTACTTTTTCATCAGCTATTCTCATTAGGTTGCTCAAATGCGTATTTGTTTCTTTTTGATCGTTTCTACCCACATGTTATGACGATATAAATGGACTGTAAATTTAACGATTGGTTTTAATAAAGTGCGTTCACCATAGAACAAACGAAACAATTTGAAATAACGATATATTTTTAATATCGAAATTATTTATTGAGGAGGATGCTCACTATAGCGCATCCTCTACGAAACGAACGAAGCAATTAAAAAAAACACAAACATTAAGAAGCGCTCGCCAATTGGCGAACTATCATGGCGACATAACACATTTTGGTACATGACATTTAACACCACATCTGTTTCATTTTCATTTGTCCGTTTCGGAGTAGAAGATATTGCCTTTACAAGGTATTTGCCCATCTTACATTAACGAGCAAAAAATTTGAACGTCTTACATGAAGAAACCTTATCTACGGTAAACACGTGGTACATGAAGAAACCTTATCTACGGTAAACACGTGGTTGCAGAGAAATGCGTTCTGAAAGAGGTTCCGTGGTTCGGAAGGTGGTTAGGTGGCGTGGTTCTGTTGTTCTTAAAGGTTCTGAACAATACTGTTAAATAGGGAAGCTGGATAATGGGGCAGATGTTGAAAATAATAAAAGATCCAGGAAGAAAAGTGAAACGTATTTTATTCTAGATGGCTGGCGCAAATGAGAAATTTTTTTCAAGATACGAAAAATTCGCGAATTTCTCGTGGTAATCATTTTTTAATGCGAGAATGTAAAAAAATATGCCAGATTCTCGCGCTGTAGTGAAAACACTGACATAATAAGGATTTTTTTTTATAATAAGTGCAGCTTTTCTACTTTTTGTTGCAGCTCCTACATTTGTGTTTATTTTTAAATATTTCAGTTAACAGGTGGGCTGAAAAGTTCGTAGGCTAACATAGAAAAAAAAAATTGATAAAATTTCATTTTATTATTCAATATAGTTTCCTTCAAGAGTGATACAACAATTATAGCGGTCATATAATTTTTCGATACCATTTTTATAGTACGATTTGTCTTTAGCTTCAAAATAGGGCTTAGTTTCGGTGACTACTTCTTCATCGACGCTAAATTTCCTTCCAGCGAGCATTCTCTTGAGGTCTGAGAACAGGAAAACCAGCAGGGGACCAGATCTGGAGAATACCATGGATGCGGAAGCAATTCGAAGATCGTAGTTCAAACGATTTCGTAGTTCAAACGCTCCAATAACGCTATGTAATAGTTGATGTTGATGGTTGTTCCTTTTTCAAAATAGTCAATGAATATTAAACCATGAGCATTCCAAAATACTGATGCCATAACTTTGCCTGCTGACTTTTGCATCCTTCCAAGCTTTGTAGTTGGTTCTTCTCGTGCAGTTCACTCGCTGACGGTCGATTGGGCTTTGGTGTGAAATTATGGAGCCATGTTTCACCCATTGTCATATATCGACACATAAATTCAGATTTATTACGACTAAACAGCTTCAAACACAGCTCAGAATCATCAATTCGTTGTTGTTTTTGGTCAATTGTGAGCTCGTGCGGCACCCACTTTGCCTAGAGCTTTCTCATACCCAAATATTCATTCACGATATGTCTAACACTTTCCTTTGATATCTCAAGAGTCTCAGATATTTTGATCAACTGCACTTTACGGTAATCTAAAATTATTTTGTGGACTTTTTTGATATTTTCGTCGCTAACAGCCTCTTTGGGGCGTCCACAGTGCGCATCTTCGTAGGTATTCATTTCGCCTCGTTTAAACTTAGCAAACCACTTCTCAATGGTTGATTTTCCTGGTTCAGAGTTCGAATAATGTTTCTCAAGCCAAGCCTTGGCTTCAAGAGTATTTTTTTCACTAGAAAGCAATGCTTTATAAACACGCGAAATTCCTTTTTATCCATTGTTTTTAAACTAACAAAAGTTGCTTCACTAAAAATACTATATCTCACAAACTGTTAGTCCGACAGCTGTCAAATTTATACATGTGTCTTTCGAAGGTTAGAACTAACTAAAAATCATATGTTTTTAATAATAGTAGCCCCATCAATGTGTCAGCCTACGAACTTTTCAGCCCAACTGTTAAGTTTTATTTCTAGAAACGCTTTTAAATATTATTTTTAGTAGCTTTTTACATTAAGTGTTGCTACTAATTGTAGTTTAAAAAGTGCAGCTTTTAGGAGTGCTCCTCCTGACACTCGTGTCGCGACGTGGTGGGTACTATGGTTACAAGAAAAAGCTGCTTCGTATATGGGTGAGCAGTTTTGTCTTAATCTTGGACCCCCATTAGAAATGTGCTCTCCCTTGTTACCATAGTAGCAGACGGCCCCAGGCTTTTACTCTGGATTAGTTCTCCTCAAAGCCGCAGTCTCTTTAGAGAGCAAATCAGGTTTGAGAAAGGAACTTTGCTGTACAGAGTTTGTATTTAAATTAAGAAAAATATGCCGAAGTATTACTTATGCTTTCTCTTTTCCTTTGTGTTTTTAGGGTGATGCTGGCCTTACTGGTCGAAAAATCATCGTAGATACATATGGCGGTTGGGGTGCACATGGTGGTGGTGCATTTTCTGGCAAAGATCCCACTAAAGTTGATAGATCTGCTGCTTATGCTGCTAGATGGGTTGCCAAGTCATTAGTAAAAGCTGGTCTCTGCAGACGTTGTCTTGTTCAGGTAATTCTTTGTTTTTACCTCATATTTTTAATCAATATTGTCCAGTATTTTTTTAGTTGGCACAGAGTTCTGTTTTAAGTCAGTTTCAGATGTTATTATCAGGTGTTACCATCTTTGCAAAATAGATAAATATCCAATAATATTAATTTTCTTAAAATAAGTATCTTTAGTATTTTTTTTCTAGTGGATTATCTCTCAAGTTTATAACCTTATATAAGTTTGCTCTGTACTAACTCTATTTATTCTAAAAATGACCAAGAATTTAAATACTATTTAATATCAAAATAAAAATCTTGACTCATCTGGAGCATTGTCAATGACTATGGTTGGTGGTGGTCCTACATGCCAGTGATTCTTATTTCACAGTGGTCTAGGGTTGGAACATTTAGTGGACCACCAATGATTTCGAATGCTGCAAGATGTCTTCCCTTTGTTGAAAAATAAATTATGAGTCATTTATTACTAAAAGGAAGGAAAAGCTTATTGAAATAAATGCTGCAAAGTTCACATTTTTTATTGATCTGCTATAATGCCAGTAAGAAAAGTATAAGTAGGAAATGAGCTTTTGCAATCGTAACATTAATCGATGAACAAAGGGATAAGCTTACAGCTCACGTGCTCGGGTATAATAAACATTGATAACATTTATTGCATGTGGTAACCGAAGCGATTAGGCAAATTATAAGTTTATTGCTACTTTTTCCGATATTGTGTGTTCAAAAACACTTTTTTATGCTCATAATTTATTGCCAGTCCATCAAATCTTTGAAAATTTTTTAACTTTATAGATAAGTGTAAAAAATCCCATAATCTAAATACCTTTAACATATATGTACCCTAAATGTTTCTTGAGAAATTATAAAAAATGCCAAAAACTTAGTGCTCATAAATGGTTTGTTGGATGGTGTATGTATGAAAAGCTTTAAACAATGGGAGGAAAAATATAAATGTGCAAAAGGCACCAATGAAAGGTAGTAAAATACGATTTTACTGGGCATTCGTTCCCTCTCTATATTTTCCCCTTAGAAATGCATAACATTTCCGGAAGAGTTAACTGACGAAAAATTTTTTTCATTTATTTAAATGATAAGGGGGGTAGCTTTCGTTTCGATATAGAGTTGGATGAAAAAAAGCTTTATGAAAAAAAATTTAGTTTCGACTATTGAGAAAATAAAATCAGAATGTTAAAATTTTTACATCACCTGATGAATATTTTTTACTGTTATTAGGGTTGGCATGGTATTTATCCTTTTTACTATAGTTATTACGGTCTTGGAAAAAACCTGTTTTTTCCCATAGCTTTTACATTGTCAGAAATGATTTTCATTGTTTCTTCCATTTCTTTTGAGCATCATCAAAAGAGGCCTACACTTAAAGCACTATTTAACAATAATTTAGAACATTGTTAAAATATTCTAAACATTAAAGTACAATATGTGATCCTTTTAAGAGTTTGTGTTCTAGAAGTTTTTGAGAATAATTTTTTTTTCCTCCGTCCCCTATTTTGCATAGTATAACTTCTTAAAAATAATTAAATAATATTTACCCTAAATAAATATATATATATATATATTTTTAAATTTTATTGTATATTTTAACACAGTATAAGATATACCAAATGTTATTATACTCTTTAAAAATTGGGTAAATTATTTTAAGTATAATGTGAGTTTTAAATATTTAAAGTACTATTTATTAAAACCCTTTAGGTAGTATTTTAGCTTATAGAATTATAACTTTTTAATTGGTTTTCCTTCATGAAGACTACCTCTGCGTTAAAATCATGCTTATTCCGAGTTGACTCTATTTGTAATCTTTTTGTCCAATATATTATCGATGCATATTATCACCAGCTGAATACCTATTCTTCATTGGGATGGAATAAACTAACAATCAATATAGCAGTGCTGAATAACCCTACAAAATCCTGCAATAGTTAAAAGGCAGATACCAACACAAGGAATAATGCCAAGATAATACCATTTTTCAATTTATTATAAATCACGTAATTTTCTTCTGTAATCCATACGCTACTGAGATATGTTGCAAAAGAATCTAACAAGAACTCAGGGTAAGTGATTAAGAAAGTTGACAAGCATGATACAGAGTCATTTAAATGTAAGAATACCGAAAGACTCATATGTAGATACGAATATGCTTCCCCATAGGCAGAATATTTTCAAATGTTCTGCAACAGGACTTATTAATTTATACAAATGTTCTGCAAGCATTTCACAGCTAAAAAGAGTCAATGTTGCATTAAAATACTATATTTTCATTTATTAAAATACAGAATCATACATAGATACACTACATTATTTTTTAAAGCAAGCAAACATTCTTGATTTGTTACTTTTTCAATCAGTTTTGAAGTACAAAATTTTGTTAATGACGATGATGAATTAGTAATAAAATACCTGTGATATCAAGAACAGAACATTAAAATAAAGGGAGATCACTGATAAATGTGTTGAAATTTGTGCAGGGTGTCAAATGTTCCTCTTCTAAAGCAACATCATTCCAGGGAAACAACAAATGGTTTTATTCAAGATACAAATTGTTCTGCAGGACTTCGTTTGTTCTGCAACGTACGTCACAGTTTTAGGCACTTTCTGCTTCTGGGTATACTTCTATAATGCAATTGAAGGCAACACATATTTTAAAAATTATGATTTCTTCTGAGATATGGCAGAATACGGAAAGAATGAAATTTATATTAGTGAACGAGGCCTACTCGACTAAACTATAATTTGATTCCATTGCGAAAGAAAGCATTTTGTTTGGATGGTGTGTTTTTGTGTTTGATCTGGTAACTTAAACTGATTAACATATTGAAGGTTAAACTTTGTAAAAATCCAGTTCAGTTCCAGTGAAATCAAATTTTAAATACTAATACACAATGTTTTTTTTTTAAATTCAATTTAGTTTATTAGACACTTATAAGTATGTATATGCTGTATCAATAAAGGTGTGGCTTACAATAATATATAGTGTAATAATTCGTAAGTAAGATTTTAAAGTTCGATTTATCGTTATTTTCTTATTGGTAATCTTATGCATTTATCAATTTCCTAATTTTTTAAGAGAAAATTTTTGTCACGCCTAGTTTTGAAAATGCTAATTATACAATTAATATTTAGAAGATAGCTTACAGATCACTAGTCCAATGGTTTAGTTATGTGCTCATTATCCAATAATTTTTAATGTAGAAATAATAGTGCATCATCTAAAAATAAAGAAATCCTCTCAGTTATAAATATTTTTTAAAAATCACTACCTATCAAGATATGAAGATGATATTCCGGGTTCTCATATCATTCTTCCTGGTCTAATAACTTGAAGCAGAGAATAGGATTATTCTGCAGATCTGATTTTTTAAAATCAAGCATAAATTTTCATATTCATGTAATTTAAAAAGCTTGCATCTCAATTCATATTCTTGCAAATTTGAAATTGATTGCCAAGATTCATATTCACTCGTTTCAATGTTGTGATTCTTATTCATGCAATTGTGGTATCAAACATCCTTATTTTTACGAAATTTAACTACTCATTGAGATTTGTATTCCCACGAGCTAAAAATTATGCATCCTGATTCAGTGTTATGATTTAGAAATTTAATATCTCAATGTGTATTTTTGCATTTTTAAAATCCAATGGCACGATTCACATTCATGTGATTTTTTTTTCCTTGGTAGGTTAAGTATTTCCTTAAATTAGTTACTATAAAGTTGTGATAATCTTCATAAGTAAGTAATTTAATAATAAATATTAGTTTTAAAAAATTTTGTTTCACAATCATCCCTGACCATAAACATGGGTTAATAGTATTTACCATGTTTTTCCCATGGTTTTTACTGATAAATATCTAGTTTTTATCATGTCTTGGTAAAACCCAAACCCTGCTTTATAAAACCTATTCATTTCTTCGCGAGAAGGGTGAAAATATTAAATTTTCGCATAAGTCTCAATGTAGCCAAGTGTAAAAGGGAAATAATTCTAATATTGTGTTCTAGCTATTTCTGCCCTAATTTTATTTTTTAATTATCCATTATACAGTAGTGTATAAAATCTAAACCAATTTATGAAATAAATTCCCTATCACAATTCTTTGGTTTGCAGCTTTAACTCTTTTGTTATTCAAAATATGTAGTTCATGATGTTCAATTTTTCAGCTCTCTTATGCTATTGGAATTGCTGAACCTTTATCAATAACTGTTTTATCATATGGAACTTCAGAGAAAACTCAAAAAGAGTTGTTAGAAATTGTTATGAAGAATTTTGATTTGAGGCCTGGCATGATCATCAAGTATGTGGCCTTTTTTTTTAAATAAATTATTACATTTTCATTTATTTTATGTCTATTATGCCTTAAAAGTTAGCTTTTTCTCTGTTAAATTAGTGAGTGGCTCTTATTGCGTTTATAAAGCTGCATCAGAAACTACGGGTCAGAAAAAGAACCTAAAAGTCAAGGATAATATTTTTTAAAAAATGCAATTTGAATACAAAAAATTTGCATTTTGTGGCCAAACCTTAAATTATTTAATAAACCTATAACTTTAAGAACCTTTTGAACCTTGTAAATAACCATTGCATACAAGATTCGTAATTTTTAATCAGTTTTTTTTCTTTCTTTCTTTCTTAGAGCTTTAATTAAAATAAATCATAATGTCAGGGTTGCCACTGGCAGCTAAAATGCGACTGTTTGCAACTATTTTCGGCCTGAGGCGACTATGGCAGCTTTTTTTGCCTGAAGAGTATTAAAAAGCATCTATTTTCAGGAAAAGGGGCCTATGGGGAGACTTTTCTGTAATCCTAACCATGTTTTAAGCATAAATCAGGGTTCCCAAGGTACTTAGAAACTGCTTAACTTTTATTTTGGAAAATAAAGGCCATTAATAGTACTTAACTTTGGTACAAGGTTTTTAAAAGTGCTTAATTTTTCAGCATCACTATAGTTGATAGGAACAATTTTTCAGTTCAATGTTTTAAAACAAAAAGTCATTATTCTATCACCTAGAATTAGACCATGCACTGAGACTAAAGCATTTTAGAGAGACAAGCAAGGAGAAGAAAGCATGCCCTTTTATTAATATATTGGTTCTTTCATTAATATATTTCTTTAATAAATTTCTTTATTTACTCTTTTTTTAATATATGAAAAAAATTGCAAATTTTAATTTCTGCACCTAATTTTACAATTCAATTTCAATGAAATTATTAAAAAGGAAATACAGATAAGTTTCTTAGATGTTGTTAATCCTTAACAATCTGAAAATGTTTTTTAAAAAAGCCGAACCTGGGTTTGCAAAAATTGTCTGGACCTACTTTGGCGAGCCCTGCTAAATAATAAAATTTTATCAGTAACCTGCATTACAATAAAATTGTTTTTTATTAGTTTTTTATTTAATTTTTTTAAGAAAGTTAAGTAATTAGCTTTGTCACTAGTTATGTATACAGGGTGATTCTAAAAAGATGAGCAAAATTTTAGGAAGTGATAGTACACACCCAAGCAAACAATTTTTATCAGAATGCCTGGTCAAAAACAAAACGCTAAGGTACTGGTGCATTTGGGAAGTTGTTTGGTGCAAACGTGAAAGCTCCATTCCTATTGCGAGTTACTGCGCTGCGTTACTTGTCACCAAGCTTTCGGCCGCTGCAGGGATAGTTCGTGATATGCCTGGTGCGTTTCAGAATGTTAACCTATCTTTTCTTCGCCGTTGTACTGCGTGCATAGCCGCTCCCGGCCACTGTTTTGAACTGAACACTTATTGTAATCACGTGCCATTAAGTTTGCTTTTATCACTTAACTTCATCGTTCTTTGTGTGTTTTGCCTCATATAAGAATATAAACTTTGACTCCCTCTAGCGGTTTTGCCTTTTTGTTTTCGACTATGCATTCTTTGATAAAAATTGTTTGATTGGGTGTGTACTATCTCTTCCTAAAATTTTGCCCATCTTTTTAGAATAACCCGGTTTTTATTCATTTATTCGATGATAAACAATCATTCTATTATTAAGGTCCTGAATTCTTCAAAAAAGTTCCTTAATTTTTTCAAGAAAAATTCCTTGAAAGTGCTTAATTTTTGCTTTTTTAAAAAAGTGGGAACCTTGTAAATTAGAATGACAACCTGCAGACTGCGGGGAGCACAATAAATTCTCTTTAAAAAAATTTGAAAAATTAATGTTCTCAACTTGCACAGATTCCATTGTAAGTCTATTTTGTTTCTCAATCGCCTTGCTACAAAGTTGCATGATTTTAAACAGTCTAATTTCTAATAAAATATTACGATGCGTGAATTTAGAATTTGAGTAATCACTTTCCACACTATATATATATATATTTTCTAAATCAGTTATTGATAAAAAGGGAAGATTTTTGAGGCAAAATGTTTTTACTTTTTTGTCTGACATTTTATTACATTAAAATTTAGTGCTGGAACACTTAACGTTTATTTAAAAAAGTATCATATTTGCCCCCAACTTGACTAAGTGGATCATGATCTATGACAATTAAGTCATTTAATAAAATTTTAGTAACATTACTGAAAATTTTTTCGTATTTAGGCAACTATTTTGCACATTTTTTTTCTGTTGCAACCTTGTAATGTATTTAAGTACATTAACTGCTGGCTGTCAAATACTTCAACATATGTCATCTTAGTTTAGCCATTTATTTATTTTTTTAATGTTATGTTAATTTCCTTTAAAAATTGTACATACTTTGAGCTTCAGAAATATATTTGTAACACGTATTTGTTTGAAAAGCAAATTAAAATCTCTCAATGCTTCAAAATATTTTCAAATTCTTGTGAGTTACGGATCGTAACAAAATAAATAGTAACAATTAATGGATTTTGTATTTAAAAAATTTTATATTGAAATTAAGATTTTTTTAAATATTTTTTAGAGAGCTTGACTTAAAGAAACCGATCTATCTCAAGACAAGTGCTTATGGACATTTTGGCCGTGAAGAGTTTCCATGGGAAAATCCCAAACCTTTAATCTTTTGACGTAAACATTAATATTTTGTGTATGTGTCTAGTTCAGGCGAACCACAGTAGATATGTCAATATTCTTCATGGATTTAAGGTTACCTGTAAATAAATTTATGCCTTATCTGTTTGAATAATGACTATCTGCTGCAAATGTGCTTAACAAGCTCATTATTAATCAGATTGTAAAAATATAAGATGAAAACTGGATCAAAATCGGCATTTTCTAGCCCCAAAAGCCCACCAATTTTTTTGTCATCTTTTTATCTCAATATCAATAATTTTTTTTTTTTTACATATTTTTCAAATTATAGATTTTTCTTGATTAAGACACGACATATGATTAAGTTTGAATAAAGTATTAAAAAGAAAAACCATTTTAGTATTTGTTTTTAGCTGTGATATTTTCTTGGATAACTGTGCAGTGTGTGCTAATCAAAGAATTCTGGAAACACTGCATGTTTTTATCCTTGTGATTTTGATCCATTAACTTTTCGTCTTCTATAATCGATGCACATTTGTCTTGTGTTTATGAAAATTCCAGTGGAAAAGAGCACTTTTTTTAAACACTCGGGTTCGCTTACATCTCTCTTCTATTCATATTTAAGTATTTCATTTCTATATGAAATTTAATAACCAATGCAATTCTTGTGTTCAGTATAAAACAGTAGGAGCTTCTATGTTTTAATATTAATAATGACTTTGCACACATAGTCAAACTTCTATCTAATCTGTGATGCCATTGTAAAGAGAGTAAGCATAAAAAGTACACAAACACTTGACTTTTATTATGAATTTTTTTTAAAAAAATGAAATGTTTCAAAAATAATTTGTGTTTTTTTGACTTAATGATTTGGTTTTTACAATCAATATTTGTTTTCAATGTTATTTGTCTTGCTTCATATGTTTCTTTAGTGAATACAAAGTATGTTTGAGACTGCTTTGGGTTAATTAAGGGAATTGATATGTATCCAAACATCAATCTCTTTTGATCTTTTTTTATACTGTTTATCTTACTTTATCTTCAAGACTGTACAGTTTCACTCATTGTTTTATGTCATCATGAACTATTTGCGACATTGGAATGGAGATATATCTTGACATGCATTCAATTGTTGAAAAAGTACTTGCATTTTTATGAATATGAAATAAAAACGAATTGCGAATCATGTGCTTGACTTTTTCATTTATAATCCAGCATTTTCGTCGAAGCAACAATACTTCTCTAGCCTCACCCAATCAATTCAGAATTGCTTGAAATTTCTTTTTTCCTTCTGGCTTTATTAGTTGAATAAGTAGATAGAAATCTTAATATGCTATATATGCAGGAATTATATTTTAAGTAGGAACCCTTTTGTAATGGAATAAGAAGGACTTTACTTATGAAAGTAAATTGTATCGCAAAACTGAAATATGAACATTTATTTAGAAATTCCTTAACTTACAGTACAGAACCCGTTATCCGGAAATCAGTAAACCGGAACGAAATTTGATAAATTTTCCCTCCATTTTTATTAAAAAAAATGTTTTTTTCCTCATAAGATTTTAGGATTTTTCTTTCTTTTTTAAAAGATGTTTACCTTACCATCATTTTGGAAATAATCATTAGTGTATTACTTCGTTTTTTTCAAGATTATTTCCAAATATTTTTTTTTAGTTGGGTTTAACAATAAAAAAACTACTTTTTGTAGCGATTCAGAAAACCGGAAAAATCAATTATCCGGAATAGCGATGGTCCCGATCGTTCCGGATAATCAGTTCCCTACAGTAGTTACAAATCTGATGGTGCTAAGTTTAGGCTATATGGTGGATGGTCCAGTATTTCCTATTCATGACAATAGGCTGTTGAAAAAAAGCCTGCATCATTTACACACATTTCCATCATTCATTACACTACCATATACTTCGACAAGCTGTCTGAATTCTCGGGATATTTGCATTTAAAGACCAAAAGCCTGAACGCAGTTTACAATGAGCGGATTTACTGATTAACATGGTGACTGGCTAGACCGTATAACTATGCAGCCAACACCAGTCGAGGCTAGCCAAGAGTTATCTATCTTGAACTTGCGTCACTTGGCAGACTGTTCAATCTGCCTTCATACTAAGGTGTTAAATTAAAAAGTTTATTCTCTGGTCATAACAATCAAGAACCAGTCGATAGGATTCTTTACGTATAGAAAAACCTTTTAGATTTCAAAAACCAATGGCTTTATAGAGTTATAGAAATTATTTGGGGTTTAAGATAATCCAGATTTTAAATTTTATAAATTCAAGTTACTTCCCTTTTTGCTGAACTACCAATGTGCAGTTAGAAAAATAGATCTGAAAATTCAACTGTTTGCAACTTGTTACAGTGGTCAGTCAAGATTTCTAGGAAGCTCATATTCAACTAAAGATGCTCCTTTTTTTGGTATTGAAAAGAGATCCAAAAGCTATTGTGTGTTATGTTTTGAGATGAAATGTATGTGTATTGAACATGCTACATAAAGTTTTTCTAGCGTAAATGCACAAACCAGAGCCAGTCTTTTATTATGTAGAAAGAGATGCATACAGATGAATTGTAAATAACATAAAATTACACAAAATGAAACTAAAACTGAATGATGAATTTACAGTTAATATACAGATTCGATAAATAAAGTATTTCATATGGAGATCCATTACTATTGGGTCTGAATTATTTGAGGTGCTTCGACTTCCACTTTATAATAGAGCTGTTTGGCTGTGAGCCAACTGTATGAGTTATCAAAGTAAAGTACATCTGAAAGTAAAATTGAAATTAATTTATCTGGTATGATAAATTAAGAACATATTTAATGTACCTATGAAACATGAGATTTTAGAGCCAGTGGAAAATAAATTTTGTTTTAAAATCCTGTCAATTTAACTTTTAACCAATTACTGAAATTAACTTCGAGAATTTAATCAATTTTGGTAATTATTTTTTTTTTTTAGATATTTGGAGAAATAGTTTTTTTCGTCATTAAAGTCTAAATTTTTTTAATCAAAACCAAGATTTATGTAGTGATGAAAATCGTCTTTACATTAATAATATTCTTTAGATTTGTTTGAAAATGTTCAAAGAAATTTAAATATCATTCACAAAAATTGATTTAAAAGCAGTGAAGAAAGTTTTTGAAAAAATCTAAATAAAAAACCTTTATAACCTAAACCTAAAATAAAAACCTTTATAACCTAAAATAAAAACCTTTATCCTGCAATAAATGTCTCATTAATACTTAAGACTTTTCTTATAGTTGATAATTATTATTTTCTAAAACAATTTTTATAGTTAGTTTGCATATGAAACATCAATGGGATAAATAAAAATTTCCACTGTTGACAGTGATGCTAGAATTTCCAAGACTTATTTTATTTGTGTTGTCCTACAGATCCAATTAAAGATTTTTTTTAAAAAAAGCAGTAAATTATTGAAATAAGAACTATCTTTAAGTTTTGACCTGTCTAGGAAAAAAAATTTAAAAAAATAATCATGGAAATTTTAACCTATAATTTTAGGAAGCTGAACAGTTATTCCATTCAAACAAAAGTGTTAAAGACAATTACTAAAACCAATGCTGGAGTAAAGGAAGTAAAAGGCAATTAGAGTTTTTAAAAAAGAAAAAAAAATTATGATGTGGGAAAATACTTACATGTTCCAGTTTTCTTGCAGAGGTATTCATTTTCCTCCGGTATCAGTTGGCAATCTACGTTTTCAACTGGTAAAAGCTCTTCTAAGGATTTATCGGTCTTTCTGTAAAACAGTCCAAATTTAATATTACATTCTTTGGTTCTGAAAGCCCATTTTAGGATTGAGCCTTTGGATTCTATGTCAACAGGAACTTGCAAACTGGATCTCTGTTGCACAACTGCAGATTTCATATCAGGGTCTGGACCTCCACGATTGTTATTCTCCTTCATGTAGTATATGGTATCAATTTTAGAATCCCAGTTGACCTACAGAAAGTAATGGAACAGCTGTGAGAAACTTTTTGTGTTTATAATGTTGGGGAAAAACTTCTAATATGAGACTCTTTTAAAAAAATTATGGTGTTCATTGTTTTATGTAATGCAGATGTGACTTAAATCATTAGGGATCGCCTAAAGTTGCAAATCTCAAAAATAGGAAATATTAACAAATCTAGAAGATGTCCTAGTATAAAGTACAATAACGTCAACTGAGAAAAAATATTGTTTTTCATTGTTGCACTTTTATATAAATATTGTTTTTTACATCTTTAACAGGGTGCGTAGCGTTTTTAAAAAGTACTTATTTTTGATTTACGTCTTTTGAAAGCCCTTAAAGGTGCTTTTTTTATTTGACGTTTATAAAAAGTGCTTAATTTTTTATCTTTTAAGAAGAGATTTTTTCTTTGCCGTATCGATTATCGTTCTAAATCACAAAAAATTCATAATTATGTAAAAATTTTGAATTTTAGTGATTTTATGTTTATAAATAAAGAACTTTTAATTTTTGTTACTGCACAGATCCTATAGTTATGATTTTTTTGGGGGAAGTGATTAAAAATATTTTTTGAGTGCTTAAAATGTGCTTATTTTTTGATGAAAAATCTGGCACCCTGTTTAACCTCCTCCCCCGATAACAGTTTAAAAAATTAAGATTCTTGTCTTGTCTGACAAATTTCAAAACAAAAAAAATTTCGTAATTAAATAAATAATGCACATGCTTATTGAACAAGGAATTAAAGATAACAGTATAAGACTTAGCTGATGTTAAAGTATAGGTTATTTTTTCATTGAAGAAAAAAAGAAACTTACCAAGGTTGTACATTTAGGATTTCCGTCTGGATCAGTACGGTTTCCTCCCAAGAAAGCTGGGACCAAATCCTTATCCACGATTTTCCACAACTCATCTTGCCATTCATCTGCAAAATAATAACACTCAATATATTGAAAAACAACACATTTTTCACATGTTATGCTATTTAAGATTTATATTAAAATCATTGTGCATTTTTAATTTTAAAAAGTTTTCGATTCAAGTTTTCTTTTTTGAAAAAATTTAAATGCACTGTGCAATACAGATATTACGTTTACGGATAATTTAAGATTTTAAAAAACCGGCCGAGTGGTTAGCGTGCCTGACTGCCGAGTCGCGGGTTCGAATCCTGCTCAGGGCATGGATGTTTCTTTCTCTCTGTTTTATGTCTTTTTCTCCTTTGTGTGTGAATGCGACCCGCCCTATAAACGGGTTGTGTGACGTGGGCGACGCTGCTCCACCTCCGTGGCTTCGCCACCGGTGCCCACTGGGTAACGAGAAGAGAGTAGCAGTTCTGGCATTCCTGCAGCCAATGGGACAACCCCTAAGTGCCCGCCATTATAAAAAATAAAAAAAAAGATTTTAAAAAAAGTCTCAAGTTAAAGTTTTCAATAACTAACTCAAGAAATTAAATGAATGTATTTTTTCAGGCATTGCTTACAACACTGCTTAATGGTCAAACTTGGATTTTCGTTTTTTTATTTTCTTTTCTTAAGGAAGATATTAAAGAATAATTTCTTAGTTAATATTTGTTTCTTCTGGTTCAGAGCTTTAATTTTAAAAACTTCATAGTTACATTTATCAGTTACAACGAGAGCTATGTTGAGAGAAGTATAAATATACCTGTTTTGTAGATTTTTATTTTGCTCAATGTGACGGCGTTTAAGAAAGGCTTGAATATATTGAAAATCCAACTGAAGTAGGACGGAACTGAAAGATAAAGATAACTAAATCAGAATACTACAACTTTGCTTAAAAACTGTCTAATAATGAATTACATTAGAATACAAATAATTACATTTTCTAATTCTAATAAAAATTAAAAAGTTCATAGTAATATGAAGAAATAAGGTCAGGAATATAGTTATTAGTAGGTACCGAAATTACTAATGACTTTTTTTTGGTGAGGAGGGGGGCGCAGGACCTTAATTTTTTTTTTTTAGTCGCCTTTCAGAATTTATAGTACTTGCTCAAAAGCATTTTAAAAAAAGTAATAAAATATTTTCTACGCTGGCAAGCAAACTAAATTTTTTGTTGGAACTAACCCGCATTTGCGTTACATGGGGAAGAAAACCTTCCACTGTTAGTCTGACGGCAAGGGGACTCTAACCCATGATCCGTCTACCACTGAGGATATTTTTTGTCAGCACTGTGGTCGGGGCAAGCAGGATGCGGAATTCGTATCGACCAACCATCGCTGGGGTTCGAACCCGGGTCACCTCATTTAAGGCAAACGCTCTATCCCCTAAGTCAGTGTTTCCCAAACTTATGACTTTTGTGTACCGTTTCTAAATTTTTCGTAACGCTGTGTCCCATTAATAAAAAATAAATGTATTTTTTACTATGAAAATATTACACAAAAGTTAAAAATCACAAATGGCTGTTGACACAACTAACTGTTAACTCTGCAAAAAATAGCCTATAGAAAAATACGTAATCGTACATTTTCATGACTAGCTTTATTTTTAAATAAAATTTTTGAAATTTTCGTTTGTTGCAAGATATTTTGCATAAGAGAGCGTACCCCCGCTAAACAGTTCCCGTACTTCTGGGGGTACGCGTACCACACTTTGGGAAACACTGCCCTAAGTCAATCACGGCTCAACATTTATGTATTATATATTTTTATTTGATGACCATTGTTGAACAGCCGGCCCAATTCTGTGTTGACAGACTACCGATTCAACTCCGTATCCTTGTAATTTTGATCCTAATCCAGAAGACAAGGGAGCTCCTGGATCAGTACCCCCAGAGGTATTGGTTTGTTATGGGAACTTGGAGGACTTTGTGACCCGACGAATTTAACGTGCATCGGTCATCATTTACTACACATTACAGTCTTTGGCCGATGGAGATTGAACCCACTACCTCTTGGACATGGGTCCAGTGCCCTTTTAACCATGCTATCCCGGACCCAACATTTATATATAAAACTAATCATTTGTATTGTTTGAATAGCCTGGTTGTTAGGGCATTGGGCCCATGTCGAAGAGGTCGTGTGTTCGAACCCTGCTGGCCGAAGTAAATAGTGACTGTAGTAAATCTGTTGGGTCACGAAGTCCTCCAAGTTCCCATAACAAATCAATACTTCTGGGGGCACTGATCGTTCTCTGTTTCAGATCAAAATTACGATCTGTGGATGTAGGAATGTGTTTGCCTTTTAAAACGGGCTGTGACGTGAATGTGTGGCTGAAATTATATTCTTGACTATAGTTGGCGCTACTGAAAAGCAAGAAACGCACCCTCTTCCTTAAAATTCGCTTGGTTTCACCAAGCAGACTTGCTAAGATTGACAGGTGGCATTAGAAACAACAACATGCTATATATGGTTCTGGTATTTCCACCAGATAGCAACAAAATCCACAGAAAAATCTTATTGCTGACATAACGTTTCTAAACAAAAGCACATATCATTAAACTGTACCGAACCCTTCGTGCATACTATCAGCTTATAGAAGCAAGTTTCCTGTAACAAAATGTATAAATTGAATGACAACCATGAAGATTAATATCTGAAATATTTCTAACTCACCATTAATAAGATAGGCGGCTTTTAAAGTTTCAGGATAGTTATCCTGGTACATAGTTATCAGTTGAATGCCAGCATTTATAACTGAAAAATAGTATATATATTTCAATTAATTATTGACTAACTTTATTCTATTTACTACAACGTCAGTTAATTTATTTCTATTGTACCTGATTTATCATTAAATTGCTTCAGGGAGAAACCACTGAAGTCTAGAATGAATGTAGATTTTTCTTCGAATATTCCAACACTCTAAAAAAAAGAATAAATTTTTAAACATTTTTATAAAATAGTTCATGAAATATCGGAACAATAAAAAATAGACTTAATAAAATTTACACATGAGCTTTAATCTTAGTGGCTATGCTCTCTTTGTCATTCGGTAATATGGATGAGCATTATATCATGAATCATTTTAAAGCATAGTAAAGCATTCCCGCTACAACCCTTTCTGAGCCAGGAGGTCATGGAGGTAAAGATTTCACCATTTCATGATCAACGGCATAATTGTAGCAACGTGGTCAGCAATGCGCATATGCCCCCACAGACAAGCTTGTACCCATTGATCTGAAGCTGGGTGGGCTTCTAGCCGAGACAGGGGATTGAACCCCAGTTCTTCACAATGACATTTCAGTGTCTTAACCACTGAGCTATCACGGTTCGATATTGTTTTTACATCTCCATAAAAAATATTTTAGGGGAAAAAAAGGATTCTCACGATGCATATTGAATATCATGTTTTGCGATTAAAATCTAGGATACGACAATTCGATAATGTCGTTATTATCGACAACGATAAACACTGAATACGTGACTGTTGAATGTCCCGAACTCATAATTACGGTAAATTGTGTAATTTAATGGCTTCCGGACATATTTTAATTATTACTACAATTCTTGAAATTCATTTATATCTTAGATATTGCAGCATTAACTTAATAAATTTAATGTTTTATTATTAATATTAAAACATTACACATGAGCTTAAATCTTAATGGTTTTGTCCTCTGTTTCTTTGTAATTCGGTAGTGTATGTGGGCGATGTTTCGTGAATTATTAATGTTATTTATGTACCTAACAAAATTCAACAACTTCATAAAGAACTACTAAATTCAATACATAATGAAATTCGATAACATTTCGAACATCTTTCAAAAATAGTTAAATTGAAATCAAAGCTGCGGGCAACAGCTAGATGGTAAAAAAAATTGGTTAATATATTGTTTAAAACTAATTAAGTTGTTAGGATTGGAAGAGGGATTGAAGAATTAGAATATTTAAGTACAATTTTGCTGTGCGTTTGGCTTGGTTACCATATAAGTGAATACGTTGTACAACATAATTTTGAAAGGTAACCAAGCTGGTCGCCAAAGTACAGAACTTCTTAAACCACAATTAAGTATACTGAGATATAATTTAGATTACTGAACTGAATAATTTGCAGTATAATAAAATAATTATTGTTTTGAATTACACATACGATACATGAAAGTCGTAAATATTGTAAAAAATATGAATAATTTTAAATCCTAGTTAACACGTTTTGTACTACTTTTTCTTTTTTTTATCCACATTTCGTCTAAATAGGGTTTTGTACCTGGACTATTAAAGATGAACTTGAACTTATTTTTAGAAGCAAAGATCAATAGTTTTCGAGTTTTAATAATAAATAAAGGCCAAAATTCCTGATGTCATTAAGCCAGAATTTGTAAAAAGAGACCAAACAAGCCATTGATGTTACTTATTTCAGCTTTATCAGATTTAATACTTCTTAACTTTTTTACACTTATTAACGTTTAAATTCTTTTTTAAGGTAAATAACTGAAGCAAACATATTTCTAAATATTTTAGTGAGAAATTATATGAGAACTTAGTCATGAGCTCGACGATTCAGCTACTTCTGGTTAATCCATCAATGTTCTACAGCAGTGTTAGTGTTCCCCAACCACCGGTACCGGTTCGTGGATCAAATGGTACTGGGCCGCTGAGCCTGAACATTCATTCTCCCAGTTTGTGCACGACTTTGCTTTTAAAAGAATTCGAGAGCTACTTCCCAAAAACAAAAGATCCACAAACTGGTAAGGAGTAAATCTGCGACCCATTTGTCAAAAAAATCAGGCGAATCTAGCATGTCTGTGCATGAAGAAGATCAACTGGAGATTACAAATGACGGCGTCCTTAAAACTACGTTCGACACAACAACTCTGCCGGTATTCTGGATTAATTTCATGGCAGAATACCCCAAGATTGCCACCACAGAACTTAAATCCCTATTGTCATTTCCAACAACCTATCTGTGTGAAGCGTGGTTTTCTGGAGTAACAGCAACCGAAACAAAGCAACGGAATAAACTGGACATAATCAACACACTTCAGGTGTCATTGTCTCATTGCAAAGAAACAAGCTCAGGGTTCTCATTGATTTAACGTTCTTGTAAGTTAAAATGTTAAATCACTTTATATTTATTTTTTGATGTAACTGTATTTTATTTTGAAGGCATAAATACAATTAAATTTAAATTAATAAATCAAAATAATCTAAAATATGAACAATCAACGCCCCCCCCCCACCAACGGGCTGCGGTAAAATGTATAGTCGTTTTCATTATCAAATCCATTTCGAAGGTAGTTTTTCTCAGCATCCATCATAAGTTGAGATAATATTATATTAATTGGTCAATTTTCATTCATTAAATAAAGTAGTTAATACAATATACTATTTTTTTTAATTTTTCGTAATCCACAGTTTATTGGCATTGCGCTTAAAAGCTTTATAAATTTTTCAATTTTTTTAAATTAAACAAAATTTTCGGTTAAAATTTTTTAGTTGATTTTAAGTCATATGATATTAATATTCTAAATATTGAAAAAGTGTTTGTTGGTTTTAAATTATTTATTTTACCTTTTTTCTTTCATGCATCATCTTTAAGTCATTCTCTAAGAAATAAATTAGAATTTTCATCAGATCTATTACGGGAAGAGAGTGTACGTAACCTAAAAAACAATAAAATCAATAAAAAACAGAAACAAGCAATTAAATACCTATTTCTCAAATATCTCAAGAAATATTTCAGAAAAATATGCAGAGAGTAACAAAAATCTCAATCATTACTAATATAAATATCTTTCAATATTTGCGAAACAAAAACTACTTAATTTGATTTCCAGACATATAAGAAAAAGTTCCATTCTAATCAATCATAAACAAATATATACGCCATGTTTCCTGATGCGTTAATAAATTAATGTTTACCTTTATAATCCAGGATTCCAACCATAAATAGACGGACAGCACTGTTTTCGTTATCAAAACCTAGGTACTGGGAAATAGGATACTTTTTATACACCTGTCAAGAGAAATTGTAGAATGAATACATGTTACATTAATATTTATAACTCATTGTATTCAACTATTATTTTATAAATATTTTTCCTGTTAAATGTTGTTTTGATTTTTTAGAAGATTCTTTAGAATACGAGTTCTAGAAACAAACGTTAAAAACATCTGGAAAACGAAATAACATACCCAAAGCATTTAAAAATAATTAAATTCTTTTCAAATACGAAATTAAATTTTATTACTTTTTATTAAAACGTTTTTTTAAAAAAAACTAGTTTTTTTTTAAAAATTGTATTTACTATTGTTTTAAATAAATTTATACATGCTGTTTGTTATCTGATTAAATATCTCATTAAAAATATATTTTGGGTAAAAACAAATAGTATTGCACTCTAAAAAAAATGCATAGCTTAATGTTCATTTACCATAAAATTTTACTTGCAAGGCTGAGTCTTAAGCTGTAACGTACAGTTACATAAATTTACGTTAATAGTGTACGACTGAAGCACACTAGAGTGTTTTTAGGGGCTGAGTCCGTTTATGCATGCAGGATATTCAAATATACAGGCAAGCTGTTTTGTTTTTCAGTCAAATACCTTTAGAGAACGCTTTATATTTTATGTTAAAATCATAATTCGTAGTGGGTTCCGCCTGCTGATTTAAATACAACCAAAGGGCAAAAATAGCAATAATTTTAGCGACTCCTCAAAAAAAAAAAAAACACTTAGATTACACGTCACAGAAATAATTAAAACTATTAAACACTATTTACGACATAATATATTAGAGAATCTTGATTTCAGTTGTGATTTGAAATCCATGAGTTAACGCATAACTTTGATATTCTTTAGTTTTCCGCCATTTTGTTTTTCAGCACTGATCATTGCAGATAGTAATTTTAAACGAAATTCAATAAGGTTACCTGCGCAGTAATACGTCTCAATGTGTCTGTGAATGTATTGCTATTATTATGAACATTTAAATCACAATTTGTAATCTCAAAAATTCAGGCAATTGTCGTCTAAAAGACATTGTTTGATCGAAATAGGTAAACAAAATTGCGTTAAGAGTTTTTATTCACTCAGTGTTATTCACATATTATTCAATGTTTTCATTTACATATACTTAATTCTCATATTAAAGTCTTTTTAATCATACACAGATGGTTTTCATTCATAAAATATTTAGATTATTTAGTTCGAATAACTTAAGAATTCTACGATGGACTTACGTCAGGAAATTCATATGCAGGGGTGAGAATGGTGTCAGCTCCAATCTTCTTGCGAAATTTGTGACTCTGTGGAAATCAAGTTTTAAAACGGATTAGCTGGTGTTGTTTTAACTGAAAAAATATGTGACTGTATTTTTTGTTTCAAACTGATTAATATTTGAAAATAATTAATGCTGCTAAAAACTAATTTGATTGAGTTAGTACTAATTTGATGCAAAATTTTTTCGACTGTTATTAAATAAAATATTAAAAAATAATAAATATTTACTAAAATTTATTTTTTGCCTGGATTTATCTTTGGACAAACGAATTTTATAATTGTGCGCAGAAAATCTTCAATTACCAGATTGCGGCTACCCCCTATATTTCTGGGGTCAGAATCCGAATCCGTCATTCAGAGGAAGTACGTTTTCTTGTCTGATTTCGTAATTTAAAATATCGTCTGCACTAATTAATTAGCATATTCGAGGTCACCCATTCGAACTATTTTGATTGGCTCCTAAAACGTCACCCACTCATTAGATCGAAAGTTATTAAGGTAGTCCGTTTTTTTTTTTCTTCCTACGCACTGTACAATAAATAAAAAATAAAGGTTGCTCCTTAGATGTTATGAATGTGTTTTATGGTGACATCAGGGTACTTATCCTTTTCTGAGTGTGGTAAAAACGTATTACTATGCGGTTAAAACCTATAACAGACACTTATATCGGTACAATAGGTTCTCATTACAACGACTATAACGATAGTACTAGTAGTATATAATACCAAATTTAGTCGAAGTCGAGTTTTTGGCCATAGATGGTGCCACTGGAAAACAAGGAAAGCACCCCTCTGCCTTAAAATAGGCTTATCAGTAATGGTTTATCAGCTAAATTAACGGAGAAAAGGTACTTTATTCTTAAATAAAAACCGTAAAAAATTGCTATATTGTTATTGATGCTAATGATGCTTCATTAATCTTAGTCATAAATACTACTGCTAAAATGTTAATCGATGTTTCATAATAGGATCTAATATAGTAATATTGATACCAAGTTATCTAATATAGGAACTGGGGAAATAGGTTTTCGCGGTCTACCGAAAAGGATAAGTACTGGAGAAAATTATTGATGATAGTAGTATAAGCATTGTGCCAAGTGATACCGAATGTGATAAAACTTTATTTTGATGGGATGAATTTCATAAAACATGTTTTACTTAATCTGATAACTTAAAGCCGCCAAGAAGGGCAACAAATAATAAAAAATTAGAAATGTTTTAACCTAACTGTGTCGGTATAGGTCTTTCAGTTCTGTGCATGATTTCTTAGTCTTGATCAATGCCGATTTATTAATTATATTTACTTTTCTTTCATCGCGTACGAAGAGCTGGTATGCTCAGCTGGTGTTTGAATACAAATGGCGACATATTATTGAACAAATATTCTCCTAAATGTAAGAAATATTAAATAACCAAATAGCTTAACATTTAGATTGATCAAAAACTATATAAATAAAGTAAAAGTTTCTTAAAGAAAGAAAAAATTACTTTAATTATATACATGTTCTAAAATTTTCAAATGACTCGTTTGAAGGTTGAAGAAATTATTGTATCTGCAAATACAAAAATCACAGATCAAAGAAAACGCCATTTAAATTTATTGACTTGATGGGGTATTCAAGAAGTGTGCCCAGGGCCTAGTGTGCAAGGGGTATCCAAAAGATCTTTTTTATATTCGAAAGATTAGATTTAGATTTTTTAAATTAAAAGATCCCTTTTCAAGCATTTTGAAATATATCTTTAAACATTTACCTCACATTGACAATTTTAAAACTTATTTTTATTTTTAGATGTTATTATTATGAGAAAATCGTCAACACAAAATCCGATTTCTTTATTTACTTTTTATTTATTTATTTCATTATTTTTCATTTGTTTTATTATTTTTCATTTGTTTTATTATTTTTTATTTATTTTATTATTTTTCATTTATTTTATTATTTTTCATTTATTTTATTATTTTTCTATTTATTTTATTATTTTTCATTTATTTATTATTTTTTTAACAAGCGTAGATAGACTAAAAGCCTTATGCAGCAGGACGCAGGTAGTCGAAAACGCTACCTGTTTATATCCAAAGAAAAGGTACTGACAATTCACACTTATACGTTTTATTTACTAAGTTAGTACATATTCTTTTTAAAAAGGGTTTCAATTAAGCACTTTTAAATTCAAATTTTGAAACTTAAATGCGTTTTATTATAAGTTACATTACAATAATTAAAAGTTAGGAAAAACTAACAATAATATTCTAATCTACTCTTCGTTTTCTCAACTGTGCCCCCTTAAAGTTCACAATTTTATCAAAAATCTAATTACTGAAATATAAACTTACCTCTCTAAACATTCGTTGTGCTTTGGATAAGTCAAAATCCCTTGCTATAAGGAAAAATAAGTATATTTTTTTAAGAAAAACTAATTCATCTGTACTGTAGCTCTTATCTCAAAAATTAAAATTCGCATTTCAAGAATTGTAATTGAAAACAATGAATCAAAAATTTTACCTTTTAACCATCTTAAAAGAAACTGATCATCATGGTTTGGCTCTAAAATATCCGCCACAAGTTTTCGAAACTGCAATAAAGACAAAATTCAGCTATTGAAACATTTCTGGTAAGAAAAGCAAATACAATTCTGGTTAATAAAACCAAAATACACGGTATTTAAATCATTCATTTGGTAATTGGGTATAATATAGCCTACGTCACAGGTTGTGTTGTTCCTACTAAATTTAACCCATGAACGGCATTTTCTGCGAGCCTAACTTCAAGCCACAAATAAACAAACGAAGTGTTCGATCGTTTAAATAGCTGCTCGCCAGATTTTATTGCATTATAAAGAAAAGTTATTGAAACTAAATACAACTAAATAAACAACAACAACGAAAACAAATAACAACAACTACTAATAACAATAACTAAATAAACAACAACTAAATTCCATTCGTTTAGCATTGCGTCATATGTTGTTCCTACAAAATCGAAGTAGTTGTGTTTTTTCATATTATACCCAATTGTTCCGTTCATATGGCAACGGTATACTGGAAATTTTGGTTTTTAAAATTATAACTCTTTTTGCCACACATTTAGTAAGAAATACAAAATTTAAAACTACCTTTAAGCGAATAAATGGTTTTTATACAATGCTTCAAGGTATCATAATAAAATTACAAAATTGCTATATTTACCAATTTTTATAACTTATTATAAAACTATATCTAATTGTTAATTTTACCAAAATCATTGCTAAAGCGCTTTAGTAAAACGAGTGTTTTTGGTGTTCCCATAGAGCCAGAAGCACGTTAAATTTCACCTTGTTCTGCTAGTTTTAACCATAAATTTTTTTCTCCGTGCAGTGCTTTATTATTCGCTTCAATGAAATTAAATCTGAGCAAATGAAAAAATAGCAATTGAATTGAGATTCTGTAGAAACCATTAACGAAATGCAAAATAATATTTTGCATCTAATTTCAATTTTAAGCACTTTATTTTTGTGCCTAGTTTTAAGCATTATATCAATTTATTCAAAACAGGTATTATTGTGGAATAAAATTTGCTCTTTATCGTTTTAATTTGAAATGACTTTATTTTATGTAATAAAAAAATTTTCCATTGAAGAAATTACATGTGAATGGAAAATATTTTCAAAATTTCTCAATATAAAGTGCTTACTACTTCTATAATTGTATTAGGTATCATTTTAAGTTAACAGGCGTGAAAGAAATTAAATATAATTCTTCAACAAAACATACCTCACAGAATTGCCAAATTCGCACATTTTCTTACACAATATGATTTATCAAATATTAATAAAACAGTTTCTCTTTCATTATTCGAAAACCAACCTATGCTTATCAATGATTATTACTATATTATTTAAAAAATAAACTTATTTTTTCCATAAAATTTGATAAAACCTTCAGAAGTTTTTTTTTTTAATTAATAAGCTATTTAACAATTTTAATTTTAACTAATAAAAATACATACAAATAGAACTACATAAAAAAGGGGGGAAATAAAAATTTTTGTTTTTAAGGTAATATTCAATTTACATTTCGATATTTTGAAACAAAAATCAGTTGATAATCAGTTATATAATAATTGTTTTTTTTTTCATGATTAGGAGTCTAACGGTTAGGTTTTTTAAACCGTTCAATACATAGTAGTTAAATTAGATTAATCACTCAAAATTAGCACTTATTCAGTTTTATGCTTTTTAGCTTATTTTACACTTTCATTTCAAGTTTTCTGCTGTCTAATTTTAGCAATCTCTGAAGAGAAAATGGATATTAAAAAAGCGATTTAAAAAACTAACAATTCTAACATATATATTTGATAGATACGAAGATAAGGATGCTGTTCTCTAATTACATTAAATAATTGGCAAACTCTATATATTTTCTGAAACAAATCAGTTAAAATTAATTTTCCCAGTTTTCTTAAATTAAAATTACAAACTATTTTTTATACAATAATTTATAATCCTTAAATATATTTTATAATCCTTAAAATCCTTAAATAGAAATTTTTTTATTAAAAAACGAAGCTTAAAAATAGAAAACGATTTTCTTAAAATTAGCAGTTTTATTTTTTTATTTTTTTAACTGTTTGATCTTAAAGTTGTGTTATTCCTTATTATTAATTATTTTTATTTATTAAAACAAAACAGATCAGACATTTTTTGTGGTAATGAACTAATTTATAGCTAGTTATTATTCTCGTTTGCTTTTTTTTAGCTATTTAAAATTAGTGATAGAGAGTAAAAAAGAAGTTTATTTCAGACATTTCGTAAAATTCTACAACTAAGAAGGTTAGTGCTTTTTTGAAATATGAGATTTACTGAAATAATTTTTACGAATAAGAGTTTTGGAAATTTAATAACAATAAAAGTTTTCAATGACGCTCAAATTTTCTAGTCAGCATTTTCGAAGTATGAAAAACCGATACAAGATTATTCAGTATCGCTATAAAATGTTATTTAATCATCGTTTGCATGACTTTCAAAATGCTCATAGCAATTTTTTATCATACGTAAGTTATTTAATTTATAATATTTGTTTAATTTAAAATATTCCTTTAATCTACAAATCATTTTTATTAAATTAATGTAAGCCTTATTAAGTCGAGAATGTTTTGTTTTATTATTATTATTTATGTGAATATTTAAAGCTTCATTTGAAATAGAACGAACCTTTCCAAATACCAAATACTAATACGCTATTTTTATTTTAATAATTACTTATTTGCTGATTTTTGTTAAATTTTTCAAATTTATCATATCATGCAACGAAAATAAATATAATAGTTTTTCATTCGAAAAGTTAAAGTATTTCAATCGAAGAAAGTTTCTAGCTGAAACACTAGCTCTTATGGTGGACGAAATTTGTTTTGTAGTTCAGCCTATTAATGACCTATGACAGGGGTCAGCAACCTGTGGCTCTTTTAATGTAAAGTTGCGACTCTCCAGTTCCATACGAAAAAATTAGAAATTCATTATCAAAACTCAGTAAGAAAGTCAGAAGTTGACATATGGAATTCTGACGATCTTCGGATCAACATAATATAATAAAAAGTAAAATTAGAAGTCAACATAGAAGTAAGAATCCAGAGTCGGGCTTGAAACAGCAAGTTATTAACCAGTTTTGATTAAACTTTCAAAAGGCATGCAAAGTCAATGCTCCTATTAATGTAACTATCTATATTTGTGTTTTTATATGAATAAATACTATTCCGTATTTAAAGCCATTAATTTTAAATCAAAAATCAAATATATATAAGCAAATACTAAAATATTAAATCGAAAATTCTTAGTGACTCTTTAAAAACTGGAAAATTTTATAAATTGCAACTTTTGGCTCTTCTGTCTCATTAGGTTGCCGACCCCTGNTTTTTTAATTTTTTTTTTCTTCAAAAAACTTTCCAAATTAATTGGAGTATGTAATTGCAAATCAATTAATTAATAAATAAATTATTAATAGTTAATTAAAAATTAATAATAATTATTTATTATTTAATCAATTTTTTGAATAATTTATTAATTAGCAAGTTAATTAATTATCCAATTAATTACAAATTAATTGGATTATGAGACAATTACAATAACTTATAGTCTGCATTGAACTAATAAAATACCGATTTTTCCATATATTGAATTATTTTTTATCTCTCACAAGACCTTCTATGGGCCGAAACGAATGTTGCCCCCTAAAATTGTTCGTCATAAGGCATACATCCCACTAGTTTATTTCAAAATTGGCGAGTCACACTTCCCTAGTTTCCCTTGTGAGTGTGGTAAAAACCTATTATCACAATATCTATAATAGGCACTTATATTGGTACAATAGGTTCTCATTAAAACGACTATAACGACAATGCTAGTAGTATATAATACCAAATTTAGTTGAAGTCGATCTTAGCCTTAGATGGTGCTACTGGAAAACAAGAAAGGCACCTCTCTGCCTTTAAATAGGCTTATCAGCATTGACAGATGGCACAAGACAACAACAACAACCAAATTTAGTTAAGCATCACAGACGTCAATAATAGGCGAATTTTTTTTACGGAATAAATACCGTTATTAGCTCGCCAAAAATGATTATAAAAATATAAGTGTCGTTAATAATTATTTTCGAAAATTACGATTGATTCATTTTGGTAATAGATACAAATTGTAATTAAAAAAATTTATTTTGTGTTAAAAAGCTAAATTAATGGAGAAAAGGTACCTTATTCGTAAGTAAAAACTGTAAAAAATTGCTATATTGTTTTTGACGCTTAGCTTCATTAGCCTTAGTCATAGATACTACTGCTTAAATGTTAATTGATGTTTCATAATAGGATCTAATATAGTAATATTGGTACCAAGTTATCTAATATAGGAACTGGGGAAATAGGTTTTTGCGGTCTACCGAAAGGGATAAGTACTGGCGAAAGTTATTGATGATAGTAGTATAAGCATTATGCCAAATGATACCGAATGTGACTAAACTTTAATTTGATGGGATGAGTTTCTCAAAACATATTTTGCTCAATCTGATAGCTTAAAGTCACCAAGAAGGGCAGCAAATAATAATAATATAGGTCTTTCAGTTCTGTGCATGATTTCTTCCTTATCCTCAAACATTTGCCTCACTTGGACAATTTTATAACTTATTTTTATTTTTAGATGTTATTATTATGAGAAAATCGTCAACACAAAATCCGATTTCCTTATTTACTTCTTATTTATTTATTTATTTTTATTTACTTATTTATTTATTATTATTTTGAACAAGCGTAGAGAGACTAAAAGCCTTATGCAGCAGGTCGCAGGTTGTCGAAAACGCTACCTGTTTATATCTAAAGAAAAGGTACAAACAATTCACACTTATACGTTTTATTTACTAAGTTAATACATATTCTCTTTAAAAGGGCTTCAATGAAACACTTTTAAATTCAAATTTTGAAGCTTAAATGCGCTATATTATAAGTTACATTACAATAATTAAAAGCTAGAAAAAAATTAACAATAATATTTTGATCTACTCTTCGTTTTCTCAATTTTGTCAGAAATCTAATTACTAAAATATAAACTTA